CGACTAGTCCTGGTCCTTGGACTCGACAAAGGTTGCCTCGACTACAGCACTGCTTCGATCCAAACAGGCCCCAATAATAGCACATAATAACACAGCAAAATGTGAATACCCCAAATAGGAAATTATACACTAGGTCATATACTAATAAAATATAATTTTCTTTATAGAATATGAACATTTATATGTATTAAAGTATGTGTGTGGCAGTAGAGGGAGGAGCACAGTTTGTAAATGTCAAGTTTAGCCAGAGGTGAAGGTGGTGGCACACACACACACACACACACACACACACACATACACACACACAGACGTCATTCTGCACAGACACAATGCACGACACAAATACTCAAATCCGTCCCTGAGGGGAGAGGAGATGATAGACTGGCTGTGTGGGTGTGAGAGAGAATTATTCAGTTCAGATTTTTTTACTAAATAAACCAAACTAGCAGAGTTAAAACACAGCAACAATAAAACAACAATAAAGTCTCTCTCATCCTCCAGTATAGCTGAACTGAACTGAACTGAACTTGTTGTTTCCTCCTGACAGTTTTTTTTTTGGATAAAGTTGAACCTGTTTTTTTTTCTGCAATGTGACGTCATTGGAACAGGAGTTGCATTAGCCAGTTAAATACATGTAAGCTCACATTCCTGGTAATGATAGACTTGTGTGATTAGTCGACTAGTCAGTCAAGCGTTGCTAACCTCGCTAGTCGGTGAAACCTTTTCTTTATTTAATTAATAAACTGCAGCCACTGTAGGCGGCATTAAAACTAAAGTAACAAGCATGTTTTGAAAATGTAAAGTGTAGAAAATACAGATATTTTTGTAAAACTATATGGGTAAAACTAAAAAGAAAGGGGAAAGTACAGATCCCAGTACAAGTACAACCACCTTATTGGTCTCATCCAATGCAAAGACAGAAACGTTGGCACGGAGCACATCACGTAACAGACACATACAACAAAGGTGTTTCTACCAACATTGATCGTGGAAAAAAAAAAGCAATAGCTACAATAGTTACACTTCAGGCTTCTGTCACAGTCAATGTGAGAAATAGACATTACATGACATTTGTTGAAACACAGCACCATGACCATTTGAGCAAATTTATGTTAAAATGCTACCTTCAGGCTCAACTTTAGACAACATGTTTTTATTTAATATTATATTTTACCCTCTGACTCTGGAATCAGAGATAGGGAGGAGGGACAGTTACTGCAGAGCAACTTAAATTGTTTTACTTTTTAAATGAGTGGAATTGTTTTATTTATTTCATTATAAAAATCAATTTAATTTGAAGATGCATTTGATATTTTAATTTGTTGATTTTAATTTGAAGGCTAATGTCATGCATTTGTAACCTGGGTTACAAAGTGATGTCAATGATTGGGCTAATCACATACAAAATGTGCGTTATCCATGCAGCCACAGGAGGGGAAGGATATAATTATTATAATTATCCATTATTAATTCAAAGGTAAATAATAAAGTTTGCTCGCAGATTTTTATTTAATTTTTTATTTTATTAGCTGATGAGAAATTATCCAGGAAAGTATAATCCTGATTTCTTCAACTGAAACTATTTAGTTAGATAGCCAGCAATAGCCAAAATTAAATTATCTTTAAAGGACCCATGAGTAGGATTCAGTGGCATCTAGCAGTGAAGTTGCAGATTGCAACAGGTGCAACTGAATATTGTATAAAAATATGAAAGGTGCTATCTACAGCCAGTGTTTGATTTGACCTTTCTGGGCTACTGTAGAAACATAGTAGTTCAACATGGTGGCCTTAGTGGAAGAGGATCTGTAAAACGGCTCATTTTATGGTAACAAAAACACAACGATTCTTATTTTCAGGTGATTATACACTAATGAAAACATACCTATGAATATTATATTCCATTTCTGCCGATGGATTAAATTAATGTTGCCTCTTGCTCATCTATAATGCACCGGCTCCCTGAGAGTTTTACAACTGATTTGTCAATTACTTTTAAGGCTTTGTGGTCTTGTTCCCAGTGATATTGTTGAATAATGAGCCAGCCTGAACTCTTCTTCTTTTAACTTTATGTTCTTTACTGTTATTCTGTATTTATTTTTACTGGGAAGCACTTTGTCTCTTTCTTCTGAAAATACTTCTTAATAAAGTTATGATTATTTTTTAAAATGAATATCAATAGATTAACTTTATGTGGATAAAACTCAAAATGTAGCTAAATTGCTTTGCTGAAATGAGTTGAAGCTGACACAAGGAACAGAAAAAGCTAAATCTGTTCGTACGTGGAACATGTTACTCCTCAAGGCATAAAAACATACATACCAATAATGGGCAGGGTCAAACTCAAAGACTTCCTGACCCCCCCCAGGGAGGTCACACCCTAAGAAAGTATTACACACACACACACACACACACACACACACACACACACACACACACACACACACACACACACACACACACACACACACACACACTTCAAATGCTCTCTTGCATCTTCTGGATTATATTGTGTTTGCACTGAGAGGTTTCAGTGGTTCCTCTTAGTTTAAGGATGTTTAAGGAAACCAAAGTCTTCTTTGCCACCTACTGTTGCTCTGACGTCAAAGATTAGATTACACTTAACTGCTCTGTCTTTCATTCTGCTGTGAGCACTTTATTTTTTTTACCGTTGTCCAGAAAAATGAGTCAGTCAGAGGAGTCAAAACAAAGTTTTTATTATGTCCAGATCAACCAAGTCAGTTACCATCAGATCAGATCAGCAGGAAAATATCATGTCTCGATTTTACAGTGAAAAAAGTTTAAAAATACAAAGACAAACCAAGTGGTGCAGTTTTTAGGCATTTTTACGGCTTTCATTACCTGCCCAACCAGGCACAATAACACAATAAACCTCCACCAGTGTCAGACGGTGAAGATAAACAATGTCAACAATAACCTGTATAAAAGAATGTGATGCGGGAACGTAGTTCTGTGGAAGGCAGCGAAACTGACAGAGGCCAGATGCCAGGTAAGATTTCACTGGAACCATTCACGTGAACTGAAATATAATGAGACTGTCATTCCTCTCAACAACAGGACAGCTGCCGCCTGCAAAAGTAAATAATTAGCTTTTACAAAATATATGTATGAGGAAGAGATTTTGTTTGTTTCAATCTCTACTAGTGAATTTAACTGTTGTCATTGTGATCCTGATTCACAACTTTGTGATCATTTCTGCATTCCTCGCTCTTCTCAGTCCTTCTGCTTTCAGTTAACATTTGATTTAGTCAGCGTCTTCCTGGTTGGGGGACATGATGTTCTTTCTTAAACTGGAGAAAATCAAGTTTACAGATAATATCACATTTCAAAAAGCTAAAAAGACTTCTGATTGATCAGCCATAACTATCGCACATCTCTTATTTCTCTTACTAGTATAATGTTCTAAAGATCCTAAGTATTTAAAATGTTTGTTTTATTTTGTTATTATTTATTTTATTATACTACTTTTTTCACATTTGATCTATTATTCTGTGTTTGGTGTGCTAGTCCATCTCACCAATTAATATTTGATCCTATCAATGGCCTGTAGGCTACTTCTATTCTGTTTGGTTTATTATAATTATTATTATTATTTTAATTTTTTTTGGTTATGGTGTTGTTTAATGTTTATGTAATGGTATTAAGACACTGAAGATAAAAAAAAGTCTCATTCTAAGGTTACGAAAACACAACATGTCATTTTCAGGTGATTATACACTAATAAAAACATACCTATGCATATTATATTCCATTTTTGTGAATAGAGCCTCATAAATGTTAGACACTGGACTTTTAAATATCATGTTACTCTGTCAATGTTTTAAGTATTAAAGTATTTAATTGTCTCGTATTATTTGTCTGTTGGTTTATTTTTGAGACATCGTTAATGTGATCATGTTTGTATTGTCAATGTGTGTCTGTGTGTTTTGTTTTCTATTTGAAAAGATAAAATATTCTAAAAATTGATTTGCTCCCAACTTGCCATGATATCACCTCAACTTGGCCCACAATAATCTCTCCAAATCAAGATGCTGTGCTTTCCACTGACTGCATTATCTCAGTGCATGATGGGTAACATCCACTGATCTAAGGTTACAAACAGACTAAACACAGCGAGTTCTCCAGGCGCCACCGATGCACCTCCTTCGGTCGATTTCATGTGGGGAGATTAATTTAGCTGTCAATTGCTGTGACGGTTGGGTTAGCTTAGATTAAGTAACAATACATGTCAGTGCAGGACCTGCGTCTAAACTGAGTTTCATTCATTTCAGCAGTAAGATGACAAGTGGCAGGGTACAGTATGCACACAACAGATTCATCTTTATTTCAGTGAATGTGATCTCATCATGGTTTTAGATGATAAACTTTTGGTTTAAGTTGTCCAATTTGTTGAAGGAAAGCAAATATTGCAGTGTGATCTCAGTTCAGATGTTTGATCAGCAACATTACATTTTACACACAATATTTATTTTCTGACAAGTTGTAGCATCAAAAAGGGCACCATGGCAGACAGCTATACATGCCACAACTCAAGTTGAGTTAATTTTATTCTTTAATTTAGGAACCTATAACACATTGTTCATATTATATATATACACATATATATGTCTTAATACAATATGAACAGCAGGATGTAAAGCCCTGACAGCGTATTTATAGCTGACATATCAATTAAAGAAAACTAATATCTCGGATTCATGCTTTTTGCTATATCATGTCCCCGTCGTATGTGTAATAATTTTGACAGCTACACGATGAGAAAAATGCATGATTGTTGAAATCTAAGTGCTGTCATGATTATCATAATATACTTTATGATAATACAAAGTATCACTAGACCATCAATAAAATATTTATAAGAAACTAAATAAAATTTGGATAGGTTAATAATAGAAAAAGGGGGTTGGGCAGTTATATTGTCTTTCCACAAGCAGTGGCTGAGTTGTTTTTTATTGCACTAATAAAATGGTTTGCCTCTGAAGATCAAGTGACAGCCTCGGCACAGCAACAGACTCGTTGAGCGAGCTAACCCAGTAGCATAAACAGGCCAGCAATGGCAGAGAGAGGCAACCTGGAAAAACAGCGTGTAGAGACAAAAATCTTAACATAACTCAGTGAATTAAGGGTTTGTTTCAAACAGCCAGTGTTAATTCAGAAGGTTTGTGTATACATTTGATAATTAGCATTAAATGAAAAGTACAGCTCAGGCTGAGGTCATTAAAAGAAAAAGAAATTGGCCAAACTGAAATTTTCACCAGATGGTAGTGCTAAAGCAAACATCCAGGGATCACCAGCGTGAGTATGATTCATCCTATAGGGGGGGGGGAATGTTTCTGTAAAATTTGGTGCCAATTAATTTAATAGTTTGTTTAGATATTTCAGGCTGGACCAGAGTGGTTGATGGACCTAAACACAGACAAACATCCCCACAGCCATGCCGCCAGCAACTGTAAAACAGCAAGGACACAAACTGGGGCTGTGAGTCAAACAACATCTCACACAGATGCACACACACACACAGATGCACACACACACACACACACACACACACACACACACACACACACACACACACACACACACACACACGCACACATACACACACACACACACACAACCCCACTGTTCAGGGTGTGACCTGTGGGCCACAGAGGACTGTCCAGACAGAGCTATAAAAAATAAACCATAATTATCACTCAGTCAGAGCTTCCCTTTGGGGGAACGATGCTGGCAAAACATACACACACACACACACACACACAACACAGGTAAAATTGACAGAATGACAGAGCGGATATTCTGGCACACTGAGCAGTGATTGCAGAGGTAACTGAACCTCTCTGCCACTTCTTCACAGCCTCCACTGTGTATTGTAACGGGTTGTTTTGTGTGCAGACTCTCACACACGTTAACATTAGTGCAGCTGTTTGATTTCCCACTGTGAAGACTTACTGCAACACTGACAGAATGACGAGAACTCACACACTTTTCTTAAGACTCTCTATTCGAAAATAAAAGTTTCTTTACAGCTCACTGCTGAAAACCTTCCACTTCACAATAACAAAATGCATCATAAACTGCAGGCAGGAGACACACCTTTTCTCATTGTGCTGACAGACAACTATATTATTAGTTTTCATTTGCTTCTAGACAACAACAAACTTGCATTAATGCCTCTATTTGCCGACAGTTGACATGCAATAAGGACAAACTGCCAAATTATCAGAAAAACAAGAAGAAGCTCAAAGACAAACAAAATATTGTGCAAGATTTCACTGAGTGTGTGTGTGTTCTCTTGATCCTTTCATAAACGCAATTAAAGAGATTGAGTGACACTCATAAATTCAGAGATAATGAATTTCAGAGAATGTAAGCGTACAGATTATTTCCAACTTTATCTGACAGATGAGAGGCAGCTGCGTGGAGCTTTGACTTCCATAAAGATGGCTACCATATAATACGTGTGTGACGGAGTAAGATTATGATCCACCTTCAATATGATCTCTGTTTTCCAACATTAGATGAATACTGCTTGTTTTTGTACAATGATGACAGGTGACTCTCACTCTGAGCTATGTTATAGTTTATTAACGTCTCCCTGGGGAACAATCACATCTCTGTCTCTTTATTCACCGCAAGCAGACAGGCAGTATGGCGTAACCGCACACCTAACACTGTAAGAACAAACACAGTAATTGTTCATATCTGCTTTTTTCACTGGCTGCACCTCTCTGCAACTCGACTGCTTGACTCCCATTCCTCTGGCGTCTAAATTCTCCCAGTGCAGGTGTACTCGGAGAATCCGAACAGGTTTGTCTGTGTACATGTAGGTTGTCACTAAAAGTGAGTTTGCCTCGCGGCAATTGAGGTGCGACATCAACATGAAAGGAAATCAGTCCACCCTAATAAAGAATGTAATAAGGAACGTAAACACACACATAGAAAGCAGCTGTTGTTCAGTTATTAATGTACGCTGCGGTTAAAAATGTCACAGGGTTAGTTAGGTTAGTTGGTAATTTATCTGTCTCTTGTTGACAGGCGATAACCCTTATTCACCTTTATACCAAACCACAACATGGGGCTGGACACTAATTACTGTTTATTATTATTATCATTGTTTCAGACCTTACTAATAACTTGAAGAGCAGGTCAACAGTTTCTAGTTGTGACAGTTTGGAATTATGATTGTGGGGTTGAGTTGATATTATCGCTGATACCTGGTCAACACGCAGCGCTCCAAACATCCACATGTGGAAGTAGACTGTTAATGGTTTAATAAAACAAAAAGTAAAATAAGAAAATGTTTTTGTGCTGTACTTACTGTATATGTGGATTCAATAGTTTTGTTCAAATTATGTCAAATGTGCAGAGATTTCTATGAAGGCTGATTCAGTGGATACAGTTTTTATATTGTTGCATTTTTAAACAGTAAATATATTTCTACCCATGACACCTAACATGTTTCCTTGAATGATGTGACCATCGTGGGAAAGATATATATATATATCCATCCATCTACACATAAATCAATGTTTTGCACTAGTTTTTTTATCCATTCATTTATTACCTGTATTTTGCTTGTTTGGTTTTAATTGTGCAATTCGCGTTTTTATTAATTTCTTATTCATCTGTTTATTTATTTATATTTAAATATATATTTATGGATGCTATTCCCCTTTATCAGGCAGGAGAGCTTGAGAGATTGACAGGATGGGGGGGGGACCACAGGTCGGATTCGAACCCACACCCGCTGCAGCAAGGACGTGAGCTACAATCTATAAAAACATTTTAATGTAAAATTATATGGCTTTAAAAATATCCATTATTATTTTTAACTAATAAAAGTGAAAAGAAGTTGCATTGTTCAAACTATAAGATACTCAGAAAGTGAAAATCCCTTCCAGCACTGAAGGAAGGGAATGTATTCTACTGTTCATTTACTTTTTTCTGGCTGGCTGCTTTCCCAGACAGATCAGGACAGGTTTGCAGACTGTGTATCAAACTCTAAAGGTGCAACCAGATTAGTCTAATGCACTTACTGGAAATACACAAGATGGCAGCACGTGGCGTGGTGGCCCCCTGAAACTTCACAGAACACAACCTCGAGAAAGAAAGTGCAGGAATAGTATGAAGTGCAGCAGGCCTTGAGACGATCGCTGCCCACAACTCTTGGGAACTTTGGCACTTCTATGATTTGTGCTCTATTTTGTCTGAATGTCCTGTCAGTCTGTCACTTTGTGTTGTGTTGCTGCTTGAGAATGAGACCCTGTGCCTCAATGAGATAAATAAAATGAAAACACAACTATCATCCACATCCTAGAGCTAAGCTAACCCAACTTGGACCTGAGACCACTCCACTATCCCACCAACCTACCCTCATCTTTACAGTGACCTGTCTCCACTACAACATCCTGGATCATTCAGGATTTAGTACCACAGAACCAAAAACTCCAGCTGTTTATATTGTTATTATCATCAAGTGTTTCAGTGTTTCCTATTTTATTGCTTATTCTATTATTTTATTCTATTCTAAATTTAAATATTTAAATATTCATACATGTTCTGTGTGTGTAGCGTGAAGGGGCTACAACTGCATTTTGTTGTGCAACACTGTATTATGACAATTATATTGTATAATTGAACCTTGCACCTGCCTGAATTTAACCTGTGATCCCTTACGTCACAATACGTCGTTCTTTTCCTCTTTTTCGTTTTTTTTGCTCTTTTCCCTGCCAAGGTTAAATTAACCAGTCAATACACTTGACCTCTGCAGCAGCTGTTCAAAAGTTAAAACTTCATCTAGTTTGTAATTTGTTTATTTATAAGGACTAACTGGGCTAACCAACAGAACTAAGATTACATTTCATTACATTATACAGACTTTTTGAGAAATCCATCGCTTCACTCACAAATATCTCTCTAAATTATGACACTGGAGGGCAAAACAAATGAACCCACAGATTAAGAGTACTTATGTCTACCATCAACCCATGTATACATAAATATAACTGAGCATAAAGTATCCTTGCATTAATGTATTAGTACCATTATCTCTGTTCAATAGTGCAGTAATCAACTGCATTTTTCTACAGACAGACACGCTTTATATACAGCTACAGGCCATATAAACTACAATTAAAGATTGCTTCAAACTCATCACATTACATCTTATACAGTGGGACCTGCAGCAGACCCCGATACAGAGTTAGTGTGAAGCAGACAGAACAGGCCTGAGGGAAGTTACCAAGTAATTCAGAGCTAAGCTGGAATAATGCCTGGCTTTATAATAGATGATTCCTTCCAAGACACAATTACCGATTCTTTTACAAGAAGGGTGTGGCAAGACAGTGAAAGAGACTCAAAGATAGCCAGTGTGTGTGTGTGTGTGTGTGTGTGTGTGTGTGACTTGTGAACTGTGTGGATCAGATCAATGTGTGTGTATTTGTGTGCACAGTGTGTGTGTGTGTGTGTGTGTGTGTGTGTGTGTGTGTTGGGTGGGGGCTCTATGAATCGTCTCCCCACCCTGCAGGGAGTAGTGCTTCCTCTCCAGGGTTCAGAAATAACCAACAGACAGCTTTATTGTTCAAGAAAACCTGCCTGCTGTCTCTGCCTGTCTCTCTCTCTCTCTCTCTCTCTCTCTCTCTCTCTCTCTCTCTCTCTCTCACACACACACACACACACACACACACACACACACACACACACAAACACAAAGACCCCCCTCTCCTTTTACAGATCTGAATAACTGACAAGTAGAGTCTTGGTTACACCCTGGCTCTGAGGAAGGGAGGAAGAAAGAGGGTAAGAGAGGGGAGGGGGAGTGAGAAAAAGAGAGAGAGACAGAAAGAGAGAGAGAGAGAGAGAGAGAGAGAGAGAGAGGCAGGGGGTAGAGGGAGGAGTTTTGTGGACACTCGATGTGCTGACAGGACAGCGGTGGTCACACCCAAACTGTGGCGCCTGACCTTCTACAACAAACAGAAACACCCTCTCACACACACACACAAACACACACACACACACACACACACACACACACACACACACACACACACACACACACACACACACACACAAATCCTGTAACATCATCCTTCTCAGTTTTCCAGCGAGGATGTCTCCACTCTGCTGTTCCATGTTAGCAGTTTGTGACTCAGCAGGATGACTACAATCTGCCTCTTTCATAAATGGGACCTCACTCTTTTACTCTGAGGTCACTGGTAGAGGGTCTGCAGCACACTGTGGGCTTATGTCCTGACTTCTAGTAACTCGTACTGTACTGAAGTACACAAATTTTAGGTACTGGTACTTATTTAGTATTCCATTATAGGCCACTTTATACTTCTAATCCAGAGGTAAAAACTGTACCTTTCTGACACCACTACATTAATCTGACAGATATAGGAACTACTTATTTTACAGATTAAGATTTTTCTCCCACACATATGATGATTTTATCGTTGTTACAAAATATAGTCCCTAACATTATTTAAATCATTAAAATTACCGTCACCTCAATAAACAGTACAACTTTAAAGGACCAGTGCATAGGATCTAGTGGCATCTAGTTGCAGATTGTCGCTTCACCCTCCCCTTCAAAGAGCAAAGGAGAAACTATGGTGACTGCAAAAAGCCTGAAGAAAGCGAACACCCCTATCTAGAGCCAGTGTTTCGCTTGTCCCTCCTGGGCTACAGTAGAAACATGGTGGTTCAACATGACAGACTCTATGGAAGGTAGCCTGTGGTAACAACGATTCCTTTATTCAGGTGATATACACTAATGAAAACATATAAAATGTATAGGTATGAATACTATATTCCATTTCTGACAATAGAGCCTCCTAAATGTTACACATTGGACCTTTAATGGATGCCTATAATAATCCTCCTGACGCTTGTAATTTAATATTTTTACAGTATGGTAGGCTGTTAGCTTTTATTTTAGTCAATAAGTGTTTCATATCATATATTGGCAATAATACCTAACCTGTATTGTCAAATAATTACAGAGGGTTTGGCCCAATAAATGTTAGATTTTTTATGACCTTTGATTTCATAAGTGTTACTGTAATCAGCTCCCATAGTAACAATCATAAATCATTATTCTGTTAAAATGCCAGCTGGATGCTGTAACTTTAACTCTTATCTTATCACATCTGCTCCTTTAATTTATAACACTGTTTGCTATCCAAAACCATTGAGGGTTTATTTTACCTACAGGACATGCAGCACAAATTATAAATGAAAACAATGTTAGAAATCACATTTTTATATTTACAAAATGCTTGATGGTGCTGATTTGTACAGCAATTTGTCTCTTTTATAGTTTCAATCATGTTGTTTCTGTTAATCATATAAGAACAAAGAACAAAAGCTGAAAATTGACACAAAAGGAAGTGTTTTAATGTGTTTTTAATTGTTTACATAAACAAAAAAAATAACCTAGGTTACTCAGGTTTGTGCATGCACATGTGCACAAACACACTGTAAGTCAAATGTAGTCAGATTACAGTGGAATTTGTGCATCATTCATTGTACTCTACATTATGCAACTGTTAACTAGCAGTTTAGACATGCAGGGCTGCAATGTCTGGGTAGTATGATGAAACAGATCCGTGCTTACAGAGACAGTGATGTTGAAACACATAGGGTGGGATATATATGTGCAATTTCCTTGCCAAGTCGTTGACGTTTCTTTGAAAAAGATCTGTAGTTTCTCTTTATAATCAGTTTTTATCTTTAATTTATAGCCGACTGACACTCACACAGACCACATTGCATAATAAATCCCCCTGAACGAGCCAGGATGTTGATTGGATCTTGAAAAGGGAAAAATTAAATGTATTTCTGGATGCTTGTGCATGTTTAAGAAACAAAGGGAACTTATGTGAAGTGGGAGTTTAATTTCATTTCTCATGAAACTTGAAATAAAATACATGGTGGAACGCTCTTACACTATGGCTGTGGTGAGGAAAGAATGGTGTGCAATGAAAGAATATGAATTAGTATTTAAGTAAAAAGCTAGACAGCTAGCTAAAACATTATAAATATGTCATATAAGTATTGAAATGCTGAAGTGTATCTTGGTCTGGTGTCTATGTGAGCTTTGAACTTTTTCAAAACAACCTACAACAAAAATGTGTACATGCTTGAGTGCAAATATGCAAATGTGTAAGGCGTGGCAAAGGACAATGTGGGGTTGAGTCTAGATGGCAACCCTCTTGTTTGTACACATTTTTTCTTCATTGTTGTTTATTTTTGTTTGTCATTACAACCATCAAAAGAGAATATTCTGTAGTGTATATTTAAGATTACCGTGCATTGAAACTACCTTACCTGCAAATGTCTACAACAGTCGATTGTGCTGATCTTACTTTGTATTTATCCGACAACTAGACCAAGGAGCAACGAGGAAGCATTTAAACGTAGCCATATAGCCTACTATTGCTTATGTTTGTCTTTAGTCTAAGAGGATGTAAAGTGTTGAGAGCACATATATAAAGTACTTTAAAGTACACACACACACACACACACACACACACACACACACACACGCACAGACACACACACACACACATTAAAATAGAGCAACACTATCTAATAAATGATGGAATAATTTGATATTTAAGTTAGATATATAAACTACTTAAATGAGTTTTAACTGGTTATGAAACAGTCTTAATGTAATACTGTTGCCTCTGTATGACCTACATAAACCAAAGTTTAGCTATATCTATAAAGCTATTTTTAATGCCCGCTGCCGGGTTGGATTCAGTCAGATTAACCTCGAAATAAAGTGAAATGATGCAATGTAAACACTACCGCTTTTGTCCACAGGGGCTGCCAGAATCAACATAAAGTGAAAGTTCCTTGTGGTCGCTTTAATTATTCACCTCCCCCTGCGACTCCGCCATGGTGAACATAACATTCATAAATGAGACAAAGTTTGTACAAAATGAGAGCACCATTCATCGTTGTGATGACAGAACAGAACAACAACTCACATGTGGCTGTAAGAGCACGTTGGACGTTTAGCTTTTGACAGGCTAATCTTACAACAAATTGTAACATGGTGATGGCCCGAGGGAAGAAACCTCTCTGAATTAATTGAATTCATGAACAACTTGACAAAGTTGAACAAAAGTGAAAATGTGAATGTGGTCTCTAAGAAGCTCTAATATGTCTATTAGTTCACAGTTCTAATAACAAGACTGAGTAAAGAATATGACTTTTAATTCTTATTTTCAGCATTTTTAAGTTAAGGATCATTGTTTTCCTTTTGTAAAACAATAAAACTGTGAAAAGAGGTCTTCTGTTTCCTATTCCTGTTTTTACTCTTTAAGTATGAAATGCTTAATTTCCTGCATAGTAGAAGTTTTCCCCCACGAATGATAAGCCTGATCATAGGTTTATCAAAACATAAATTTATTCAGGTTAATATTCAACAGATTCAACAGACTCGGAGTAAAGGTACACTGACAGGAGCAGCCTGATGTAGTCAGCAGGTCCAGTATAATCAGGAGCTGACTTTATGGTTTCTGAATTATCCAGGTGCTTCAGGTGAAGTAGCTGCTTATCAAGTTTTAGTGCCGTAGTAGTGCCTCATGAGACCTTGTACTGACCAGTACACTCTCCTTTTAGCACTTGAAGTGCCATTACTTGTCCTTAAACAGTGCATCATTAATGATTACATCCACTTAAATTACTTTATACACCACATAAAAGGATGCAGGTGGCATGTGTTGGTGTTTAAAGGTGAGCTGATAAAGACACAACCACAGCTCTATTTTTTACCCTCCTAACTGTATAGCACTGGGGATGGCAATGATCACCCCACCACTTTAGGACAGACCGAAGAATCTATTGGATGGAATGTCATGAAATTTGTTACAGACATTCGTGGTCCCCAGACGATGAATCACACTGACTTGCCGAAACATTTTCCTTTAAAGGGCCAAAACTTAAATGTAATGGCGGGCCACGGGCCATATTGTATTGTATTGTAAAGATGCAAAATGGTATGAAACAAAGTTCCCTTAATTAACTGAATTCCTGCAAAGTGTCTTTCCTTAGAATAGGAAAAATAATAGTTAGAGATACTACATATTAGAATCTGGTAGGGCCAAATCAAACCCTCATGGTGAACCCCACTTTGTGCAGCCCTGCTCTAGCACCAACATGAGGATGTGCAGAATGATATATGGGCAGAGTTTGACACTAGTCACTAGTAGTTTCTCTGTCATCATTGAAAATCTGATCTTTAAGGGGCGGGGCCAATGAGCATTATTTGTGACATCACAAAGAGTTTGGTCCAGTTTGCATCTTATACTTATATATATATATATATATATATATATATATATATATGTGTGTGTGATAAAGAAACATGAAGCCACTAATGCACAAACACTGAGAATGGACTGTACAGTGAAGTAGGAAACATCTTGTGTCTATCAGGAAAATGTAACATCCATAAATTCTGACATTTTAATAGAGTAGATGCCTTTTTAAGGATTTAAATGTATAATATATATATATATATATATTCTTATTTTGTGGAAAAAACAAATCCGACACTCAGCACGCTCTACCAGGTGAGCTACCATGCGCCCCTTAGAGGGGATCTTTAACTTTTAATTTTTCCATCATCAGGGCAAAATTTAAATTTTGCACAACTTCACAGAGCTGCTAACATGGCTGTCGACTCTCAGTCTGGTTTTCTACCAGATGGAAGAGAACCGGAGCTCAATAACTTCAGACATCACACACATATACTGCCCTCCAAAGACTTATTTATAATCAATATGTAATTATCACATCCACAGCTTGAAAATCCCTCACTCAGGCTCACTCAGACAGTGTTGAATAAGGACTGTAGGAGGATACAGGCATGCGGTGGAGCTCGGTGCAGGGCAGGGCAGGGCAGGGCTGAGGTGGAGTGTGGAAGGGTAAACAGGATGCCAAGTCAAATAAAATAAAACTCTGGGCACAACCCCTGGCAGTCTGCTCGGGCCAGCACAGAGACACATAAACATACACACACACACACACACACACACACACACACACTGTACACATACACTGTTTACACACAGCGTAGGCGGCACTCTAGACGACGAGTGATCTGGCACCCTCTCTGTTCACTCAACCAGAGAATTAAGAAAATCTGTACACAGATGCAGCGTTTCAGCCACAGTCACGCGAAAAGCCGCCTCTCCTGAACGGACAGGATCTTTTTGCCCTTTTCAACCTGTAACAGCAGGAGTTCTGACACAGCAGGTGCACACACATACACACACATACTGTACATCACATCTATACAAAATCTTAGCTGTTACAACACTGCATGATAACTGAGCCTTCAACACAGGACCATACGAGATGGGCAGGGCTGCTCGGTCAGGGGTTATGTAACTGTAAAAAAAAAAAAAAAAAAAAGAAATCCACATAAATCCCCAAGAGATTATCACAGATTAGCTGCATCTAACCCCAGTGAGGCTGGTCATGGTGGTCTGCAGGGTGTGGCCACATATCGAGCAGTCATGCAGTTTACCTGCTGATCAGTCTCATTAGCGGAGGAGGGCGTGTTCGCCTTCTGGATGTTATGTAGAGAACTTGACTCCCTTTGTTGCTGCTTCATGGAAATCTCCATTCAGTTTGAGTGTTTGGTTTGGATCACGACTTGAGCACCGCGTCTTTAACGCATGAAGAGTGATCAGTGCAAGAGTTCAGTGGCAGTATTAATTATGGTGCATGAGTAATAACAACGTGGTTCTTGTTTGATCCCTGTGGGGAAAGTCTTTTGTTTTGCACTCATGTAGGGCAGGGCAGGTAATAGGTCATTTACAGAGCAGCATGTCAGCGAGTCAGCAGCTAATGCACATTTTTTATGAGTATTTTTGCCCTTATTTGCAGTTTAAGTAGAGAAGCAGACAGATAATGGGGGGAAGAGATAACGAATATTTAACAAATGTCCCTGACCAGAATCCAACAGTGACAGTTGCAATAACTGAGCAGGTTTATGAGTACGTAGTGTGTCTACATTGGAAAATTATTGTTAGGGCTGAACGTGTTTGGTTGTTCTCTGCTCTGCCCAGGTGTGCTGATTGCTAAATGAGATGCACCTGATCAGTGAATGGGGTTAGACGCTCCTGTGCCAGCAACAGAAGGGAGAGGTTTTTGGAGTGCGGACTGCTGGTGTAACTGCCTGAGCCTGGGATTTTGTGCTGCTTTGTATCTTTTTATTACCTCGATTTACTCTTGATTCAGTGTCTTTGTTGTTTGTATTTCTTTATGTTAGTAAATCCATGGATTTAGTTGTTTTAAAGGTGTATTCCTGTGGTTGTTTTGCGTCTGTGGGGTGTTGTCTGCCCAAAGAGCCACCTATGGGTGGGGGCGTAACATTGAGTATATTTAAAACATGTCATGTGCATACTGAATGATACATTTGTGTTGTTGTTGATGATGATGATGATGACCCTTTTGTCCCACAATGCAATGCACATTGTACACAGAGGAAAAGGAGGCCTGCACAAAATAAATTGTGAATGGTGAACGGCAAACAAACAAAAATAAAAAGGTTTTACATCTTTAGAAAGATATTTTGCTCCACATTCCCATTTCACATCCAGATGTTACAGAGCAACGTTATCATTCAGTTTCTGGCCGATGGATGAATAGAAGTCCAATATTTGCTCTATTTTTGGTCTCTACCAACTCCTGAGGGAAGTATCTGGCTCATCAGCCTCTAAATGCTCCGCTGTGTTCACCAGTTAGTTGCTAACTGTGTCTGTCTACCATTTGGTGCTGGGCAGGTGGTGTACGGAGAGTCTTAAGGGCAATTCAATTCAGTTTTATCTGTATACCGCCAATTCATAACAAAAGTTATCTCATGACACTTTACAGTAGGTCAAGACTGTACACCTTATAAAATTATTTACAGAGACCCAACAGTTCCCACTCTGAGAGCGAACAAAACATTGAAAGACAGTAAAACCAAAACAATGCTAACAGATAACTCTCTGTGGGTCTGTCACCATGAGCGACCTCTTTTGCATTACATGCAATAATTTGATCCATTGTTAATATAAAAATATTGATTAGTGCATCCTTGCGTATGGTAACTTCTTGCTTGGCTCACACACTTCAGAAGGGTGGAAATTAGCCAATAGAAAGAGGCTTCAACCCCATTGATCTATTTCTGCTTTTACAGCGACTGTGTGGCACCAGAGTAAACTGTGTAAATTGATCTTTACGCAAAAAAAGTAAAGTAAATTTTTTCTGTAAACATATAGACTTAAAATACCTGTTATGGCCTTCATCATAGTTATTTTGAACACACAAAAACGTCCAGCTGGTTGATTAATGGGTCCACTCAGAGGACCTCAAACAGGTTTAGGAATGTGAGGAGAAAAGGGTCTCGTTGTTAGCTCTTGTAATTGTATACTCCTTACTTTGAGCTGGACTTGGAGGAAAAAAGGTTCTTCTGAAGAAAAACAAAACAAAAAAGTCACGATCTCCTCGAACAACTGGAGCACTTGGCAGTGGAGCGTACAAGTATGTCGAAAATTATTAGTATGTTTTTAAGGTGTATAAAAATTGTAATGCACAGACCTGAGACGCTGTTTCATTATTTAAAACAAACAAATACTTATTATACCACATTCTCAGTTTTACTGTGTATGTTGATTGTTGTTGCTGTTTCTGTTGTTCGCACACACACACACACACACACACACACACACACACATGCATACTACCAGAGCCACAACGTGCCCCAACATGCTTTTTCTGCGAACTCAAGGGGAGTTCCTGGATAGAAATGCATGTCTGTGTTTTAAATACTGTGTACAGTACATTTCCATATGCCTGAAACCCTGTATGAGCAATGTGGCATTCAAAGTGACTGGCATGTTTAGACAGGAGGTGGTACAATCTACACTATCTTTAACAGTCCGACACCTGTGAGTTCATACTGTATGAAGGCAAACACACACAAAAAGAAAACTGGTTTCAGAGGTGCTGAAAGGGTATGAAATGTATTGTAAAGTACAGAACAATAATAGCAATACTCAATTAAAACAACACACATGTGCAAGGAGAGTCTGGAGTAAAAGCAAAATATCTTTACAGTGTAAATCAACAGATTTGTTGCCATCAGTGAAGTGCACAAGCACACAGACACACATTTAGACATTAACATACACACCGAGCTGCAGCTCGGGTTGAAGGAATTCAGTGTGTTGAATACAGTAAATGACTCATAGCTGACAGATTGTCTCAGCAGCAGAGGTTTCTTATTTGAAGTTTCAGACTTAAGTGTATTTTGCAGTATTTTAAAATAACTGATCTGTCAAACTCTGTACTTTCCCTCACTTGAAAGGTATACTATAAGGTTTTCTGCTTCTATTTATATCTTATATCTATTTCCCTTTCTACATCGATGGATCGACTTGTGCTCAAAGGTGAAAAAACAGGATGTGAAATGGGCTGGATTTATTGTGTCACTCTTCCTGCTAACTAAAGTAAGTTTGAAACGTACAGGATCAGGAAGCAAAATACGTGGAAGACTAGAAATACGAAGGAGAAATTTAAAATAGTTCGCCCCTGACCTCTGAATATGAGCACCACCTTCCAGGATCTAACATAATTTAGCTTACGTCATATTCAACTATTAAAATAGAAAAACAAAACAAAAATATACTTTGTCATGAAGTTTATTTCTTCACCCGTCCCTTCATCTCATTTTGTTGTCACACTTCTCTTATTTGTTCTTTGGAAACATTTCATCTTTGTATTACTCACTTATTGTGTGTAAGCCTGATCAATAAAATGTTCTTTGTTCAAGCTTTTTTTTTATATACATATATAAAGGACATTCTTTGGCTGTTTTAGCCTTGTTTCATCCGACACAAACCCTGTCGCAAGAGCAGAAAACACACGAGTAAAGACACTCACAGACATTCAAAGACACAAACATACAAGTACAGGTGCAAATGTAACTGTTTAGTTTTTACAGTAGAGGCCCAGTGGGACAGTGCTATGTTTGGGGATTGTTGGTCAGATCACATGTTCGTTTATATTCGTTAGAGAGTGGGAAGAGAGCACTCTGCATTTTAGGATAATACTCAAAGGGGGGCATTCCTTTATTTTTCTTTCCCTTTCAACCTCAACCCCATTTTTGTTATATTTCCATTATTCTCCTCCCTGTTTTAGGTCCAACTATATCTGTATTTTCCACTTTTTATTAAAACATTCACAAGCTCGGCTAGGTCGAGGTAGGGAGGCGTCCCAACGTCTCACTTCACCTTCTCGTCCTGGGCCTCGACCTTTTCATTTGGAAGATTATTAGGTGCGGTTATGAACCTTCTGGCAGAGCCAAAGGGTGGGGAAGGGAGTGTCCAGTCCTGTTCACCAGCCCCTCCACCTTTGCTGTTGCTGCGGGGAGTGTGAGTCCATCAGGGGTAGTTTGTATGCCGAGGCTGGTGAGGAGGTCCTGGAGGCGTGTGACGGTGCTCGCAAGCTGTTTCTTCTCCTCCTCCAGTGCGGAAACCTGCTCCCTGAGCTGGCCCTCCGACTGGGCCAAAGCCTCCACTCGGCTCTCCAGGCTGCAGATGCGAGCATGTGACACCTGGGTGGGAGGCAGCGATGGTTGAAAGGAACAAAGTAAAACACAAGATAACTTTGTGTCTCTATTTGTGTGTGCGTGTGTTTACCTGCAGCTCCTCAAGCAGGTCGAGGTTCTGCTGTCGGAGGCTCTGATTGGTCCTCTCCAGCTGTGCAGCTCGCTGGTGTTGGTTGAGGTTTGGGGGCGTGTCCAGCAGTTCATCCTGCAAGACGTGGTACTCAACCTCATAGGCCTGGAGCTGCTTGGACATATCCATCTCACAAACCTAATGCACACAGGAAATGTTCACAATGTGCAGCAGAAATTAAAATATTTCTGACATTTATCAACCTTGAATGAACATTCAGAAAAAGAGTGTAAAAAGATTCACATCCATAAATGCACATGGAAAATTTAAATACAGTCTATATTTTAAATCTTTGTAATATTTCACAGAATCATCAATCAACAATGTGTTTAAGTTGGGAAATTTGCATGCGTTAGGTTTCCCCTCCTCAGTTTGTAGTTATTCCTGTTTTTCACTTACCAATTGTAAAGTAGACATTTGTATACTATAACACATCCTTTGGCTTTATAATTGTTAAAGTGTACCTAGTCCAATAAACAGAAGGCATGTTGTACATTGTGTGTATGTTGTAATAACTTTTGTGAAGTGATAATGAGATGTGCTGTATTGATGTATGTTTTTATGTGATCAGGTGAGACCAACAGGGATTTTCATGCCTCAGCTGGACAATAAAGTTAAATTCTATTCTATAATAGTTTTCTATATGTGACCCAATCAGCTCATAGAAATGTGTAAAACAAGAGAACTTTATTTTGATGAACAGTGATGTTTAAAGGAAAGTTCTGGGTCATTACAACTTGGGTTTTATTTGTGTAGTTAGGCCATTATCTGTTATGATAACATTGTACGCCCACAACACACACAAAGTTTGTCAGGGTAAGAAACGTTCAAATGATAAGGTTTTGGATTTAAGCTGAAATGTGTTGGCCATGTCAGTCATGTAATATTAAAGGCATTTTACTACACTGAGGATTCGGAGTGCTTTGAATTTGTCTTTCTAGTTTTAATTTGAGTCCAGAGAGACCCATAATTCATTGCACTCTGGCTTTTATAAAAAAAACATACTTTTTATTCATAAAGCAAAGATGCAAACCAGATTTTCCTTTTTATTTTGGTTTAGCAAGATTTTTCAACTTTATTTTGAAATAAAAGCCAACCGAGTGCACCAGAAATATCCAGGTGTATATAAAAGACAGGTAGTTGTAATGAGGTCGTAATATCAGCATTTGCCTTTGTTTTCTCTTTGTTTGATTAAACCTTGTACAATTGTCTCACTGCAATGCAATGTTCTTACTGATATGACTGACGGCCAAAACTATGAACAAAAGGTGGCATGAAGCTGGAATTCCCATTAAAGTGTTTACTTCTCATGTTACAAATTTACAGATTGTTGTCCTCTACCCACAAACTCTATATTACTGCATAGTAGAAAATAAGCAACACATCCTGTAAGTACACTCTCTCCTTTTTCCTTTTTGTTTTGGTGAAACTGTGAGTCACAGCGCAGTTAACATATAGACAAACGGAGGTAGATAAGTGACACTCGAGGGAAAGTACCGGCAAGCTGGAGCATGACTCAACACCCTATTGCTATATCATGCAAATTAGAAGGTGAATGCATACTTTCTAAACTATGCCATAACTTGATAATACCACTACGTGTCTATATGTCTACCATCTCAAGACACCAAACAGCCTTCATTACTGTAAAAGTTAATATGAAACGTTCCATCTTGACATCAGTTTACATGAGACTGACTCATTAAAATATTATTTTACTCGAGCGCTCTGATCAGGACTCTGGTATGTTTGGTTATTGGAGTCAATTGAAACACTTGAGCCTGATGTTGTTGACATACAGTAGTTTTCCTGATGTTTTTTTCACCATAAATACTGACGCATGAGGTAAAAGGTCAAATGACTTCACTGACACTCCACCCAACAGCTGTTATAACGAGAGGGTGTGGTTCACATTGATAGCATCTGTCACTCAAGCAGAATATCATTCTACATTTTCTTGTTTAGTCATAAAGACAATTATTTTGTCTCCACCAGTGCCATGAGTTGTAAAACACAATTTTATGATGAAATACATCTGTTTAAATGTTTTCAGGAACCGTTATACTTCGCTCAAGTACACTTAGTGACACAGTATTGTCACATATTTACACACAGATATTTCATACTTATTTTCAAACAAGAGCTTATCTGGTCACTGATCCACAGGAGGTAAAAATCACTGCTGTACGTCACTTTGAGTTAAATGTGGAAGTCTGGTGATATTCTAGATGTTTTATTGTCAACTAAAGAAAAGACCAAAACCGACAATTAATTAATCCTTCTAAATACTGTGTGTGTATCCAAAACCTCAAATATTTTATTCCTCTGCGCCACAGACCTCCATTGTCGTCCAAAAACTATTAACAACACAAATATGCCTTCATTCCGTCATGCTCTTTCATTATGAACATTAAAACTGTAGTCAAGCCCACAAACACTGTCTTCCTCCACTAAATACTCACTAGTACATAGGGGTGGGTAAAAATATCGATTCATCAATGCATTGCAATATATTTTTTCCCAATTCAATATTGATTCATTAAATCCTCTGAATCGATTCAAGCCCCTGGCCAGTGGGGGCGCGATGAGCAACACCATTGTGTGATTTGCGCTGTACGGACGGAGGCCGCACTCAACCACACAACAACAACAACATGGCAACCCGTGGCTAAACCAGTGGATTCAAAACAGACGCAACTCGACAGATCCTTCCTTTGCAAACTGCAGCCAAACTCTGCCCGTGCACAGAAGATAACAGAGTCTATGGCCGTCACGATACGCCATACCAACACGCAAACACATGATGGAAGTCGCCGTCCCGAAGCTGTACACAGGTAAAGACAGCTGTTTTGGAGTCGTTGAAGTCGGCACTGAATCGATATCGAAGCATTTAAATCAATATCGAATCGAAATCGAATCGAATTGTGACCTAAAGAATCAAAATCGAATCGAATCGTGAGGTTCTTAACAATACCCAGCCCTACTAGTGCACTAAATGTGAAAGTGTAAAAACTCTCAACTCCCACTTGAGTAACATTTGTCTGAAACTGCAGTACGCAGCTGTTTTAGGAACTTATTTTGGGTTTCTTATCCATCACTAATATTCCCATTTTGAAAGATTTATGTTCTCAGTAGAAACAAATGGGTTTGGGTACCATAGAGAGATAAAAAGAAGGGTTTTGCTGACAATAAAAAAAATATTACAAACAGACTTATTGATTAACAATGATTAGATTATTAAATATGTCTTGCTTCCCCACAATACGATGAAATGCAATACTATTACTATAATAATCCCCAAATTTACAATAAATAAGGTTCATAAAAGTATTCACTTTGTATTGTATCCCAGTTAGTTGGGGGTAGTTACACATTACTAAATGTTTGTTATTCTAACCTGGTTGATGGTTTTCTCCATCTGCACCAGGCCCAGGTTGGGCAGTGTGGTCTTGATGAAGTCCACTATGGACTCCAGGCTCTCATGCTGCAGGATCAGGGGCTTGTGGCTTCCCAGGAGGCTCAAGGCCACTTTAAAGATGACCTCAGACCCCTGCAGGAACAACATATCTGACAGAGGACACAGAGGAGTCAAAGGTTACAGACAAAGAAAGAGAAATAAAGAAAACAATGAGATTGGTTGGAAAAGGCCATGACGTGATAGTTTGTTTTGAATTATGTAACGTAAAATTAATAATGAGAGGCGCTTACAGCCCAGCTTACTGTGTTGATTGGTGACTTAAAAGGTTATTTTAAATGATAGATGCTTTGACGTCAATAAAGAGGTTTAAGCAAACAGAAATATAGGGCAGGGTGAATCTGGTGAGGCGGGAGGAGTAGGTGTGTGTTTGTATGTGTGCTTTGAATGCATTAGGGTGGGGTAAGGGTTTGGCTGGATTGCATGAGATCATACAGCAGATTAAGGTACGGGAGTGGAGGTGTGGAGCCCCACATGTTGTATGCTATCAAAGACTTCACAGTACTATGATAATGATGCCCTAACTGCAACACACACACACACACACACACACACACACACACACACACACACACACACACACACACACACACACACACACAGTTACACACACACACACACAGTTACACACACAGTTACACACACAGTTACACTTGGATGAGCAAGAGGAGCCAGTACGTCTGGTTTAGTGACTGTGCACCATGCAAGAAATTAGGCATGAAAACAACGGTGAGGAAGAATGTGGGAGATAAAAGCAAATCTATGCCGAAAAAAGACGTATACAAGGGCTTGTGGGTTTGATATTTATAAAAATGATAAAAGGTCATTTCACAGGAAAGGTGTTATCACAGACTCTGTGTACATGACTCACCATTATAGAGCAAACTGCTTTTTAAGTTTGAAGAAAAGTTATAATCATTATCATAAAACTTCAGTTTATACTTTAACAAAATAAAATGTCCCACTCCCGTCTTACTTGTCCCGCTGCCAAACCTATTAGACTTCTTGTATGTACTTTGCTTTACAAGCTTCTGTTTCCTCTAGTTTTGCCAAGTCCTTCAATCATAGTTATTTTCATGCTGCTCCACCACTTTCCTCCCCCTTCTATCACTCTGGGTTCAAGATCTAATTAGAAAAGTTAACTGTGGAGAAAACATCTTTCCACACCCAACCACCCTGCTTCTTTCCCACATCTAAACTGCCAAGGAAGAAGAAACGGAGTGGTGACCAAGTAAAACAAGAGTGTGGTTTATGAGCAGATACATACATACACACTCTCAAAGCTTACCGAAGACTCTGGCCACAAAGCCGAGGGGGAAGTGTGAGGCGAAGGCGGTGAGAAACCAGGGGGTGGCGTATAAGCTGGGCCCGATCTCCTGCTGCTCTAGGTGGCTGTAAAGATCCCTGTGGTAGTCATGAAGCAGCCGCGACAACTGGTACATCTGAATCTGACATGGACAACATATCACAGATTGTTTTTTGTTGGTTTGACTGGGAGCATGTGGTTCAGTGTACATTATGTACAAATTGCTTTTATAATCTTACACATGGTTTTAAAGTTGGGAACCTATGCACGTAGCTGTAGCATGACGTGCTACTGAGATACCATATGGAGACCACAGGTTTTGGTTTTCTTTGACAAGTTTCTGATGCGGGTAGAGATTAAAGAGAACCTCAAGAAAGTTTAAGCAAGGGTCAATTATCCGGCCCTTTTCAGTTAAAGAAACTTCCCACCATTGCCTTCTTTCACAAAGTGAATGAAAGAATGTAAACACAATAACTGTGGGCAACATAATTCAAGCATCACATGGCCTGATCATGTACACGACATCTGTGTAGTGTTGTAATAGTTCTACAAAAGGAAGAAATCTGATACTGAATTATAATTCAAAACCTACATCACAGGTAGGCAGAACTCCAGTTAACCCCTTTTATCAAGTATAAAACCAGCTAAATTATCACGCAAGGCACCAATAACCACGTCTCAATCAAACCAATGGTGACTTTGTTAAAACATGAAAGACAAAAGCCGATCACTATGATTCTGAAAACACAGATGAGGGAGGACATGCATCAAATAGAGTATACATAATGTGAGATGAATGGACGTATAAAAAGATACCCGCAGTCCTCTCTTTGATGTAGTTGAAGTATGAAGTGTGTGAGTCTCAGGGAGAAATGATCTAGATTAAGGTGTGTAGGTAACAGTGACAGATTGAGTACATGTGTCCTATATACGTGGGACAGAGAGACTGTGTTGTGTGTGCATGTGTGTGGATTTTACCTGCAGGATAATCATGTCTGGCCTGTACTGTTTGCGGAGCCCCACGTCATACATTAGAAATTTGAGCATGTTGAAGGCGTCCTCTTCCCCCATGTGTAACAGCAGCACTCCAGCAATGAAGGACAGGCCCTGGCAGTAGCCCACCTACAATAACAACAATAACAAACTTGACGTCCACACAGACAAGAAAGGTGAAATACAGTTTAAGTCTTAAAGACAGGTGACAGTTCCATTTAGTCTATCAAGTGGGGGGTTACATGATACCTCAGGGTCCAGCAGGGAGTAGGCTTTCAGTATATTATACAGAGACAGTTGTCCTGCCCCCAGCTGGGCTTGGAAGTATGGGTGAGTGGGAAAAGTGCGACCTGGGACAGAAGAAAAGAGCGAGACGTGATCTATATTGCAAAACATCTGCACTGTTTATATTTAGCATGAAATTCTCTGCCAGACAAAGTATCTATTTAATATCTGAAATCAACCTGATACGCATCTAAAAACACAATAACACAGTTTTAATAGATTTGATTTACTGGGTTATGTCTGACATACTCCTGGAAAGAATCTGAGTGAATGATCCATAAGCTTCTGGGTGTGCACCACGTGTTTGAACGAAGCATAAACTCTGCCTTAGGGATGGTAGGCTTCACGGTTTGCTGTTGATGTTATAAAAAATGTGCTTGGTGCATGGGCATGTGCCAACCCATTCAAAGTTGTCATACTTACAAACATGTTTATAAAAACCACAACCACACACACACACAACCCCACAACCACACACACACACACACACACACACACACACACACACACACACACACACACACACACACACACACACACACACACACACACACACACACACACACACACACGCACACACGCACACGCACACGCACACACATCCAGCCTCATGACATAAATGACAACATAATGAGCCAGGATCTGTAAAAAAAAAACATTCTTAAAACGTATGGGCTGGTAATTGGCAGGTGTGTGTGTGTGTTTTCCGACTCAAGACTTCTTGACTTACAGAGTATGACACAGAGGCTTTGGCGAAGACAATGACAACGGTGTAAGGGTGTATGTGTGGAATGTGCTGGGGGGGCTTTATGTTTGCGAACAAAAAGTCATGAGTCCCTCCCTTCCCTGAAGGAAAGAGAATGTATATGTGTCTGTTCTGTGTGCTGAATGTAAAATTTAGGAGTGCTGCACTTTAAAACCCTAAATTCTAAACCTTTGTCCTCTTGTCTTACTTATATCAACTTACCTAAACACTGCACTTTTGCACAGCCTTCAAGGTGCTGTACATTTTCTACCTGACAACCTCTTTGCTTGGTGCAATATCACAAACAATGTGTGTTTTTATCGTAGAGCACATAACACCTTCATATTGGGCCAGGGTACCAACCGTCACTGTAAACACCGTTACCTCCGTCCCCACCCTAATTTGATGTAAAGTGAATAACATGATAGTCAGATGAAAGACACAGGGTCAACAGCAAACACAGAGGAGGTTAAGTGCTACAGGCATAGATCTGTGGGTGGATGTGTGTGTATGTGGGTGTTATATGGGTGGGGTGTAGGTACTGTGTGTGTGTGTGTGGGTTTCTGGGTAGGAGGTGTTGTGAACATTTCAGGGTGAAAGCGTTAAAATGAGGTTTGAGACAGTGTTATATACTCAGTGCAGGGTTTCTGCTGTGTTCACCAAATTGAACTGAAGACATTTAAAGACCTTTTTAATATAAGAAGATGTAAAACCTTCTTCAGAATCATTCTTGTCGAAGAACGATAGAAAACCAGAAGGGACAATAAGGTGTACAATCATTTAAGCATGCATTGATTGAAATCTACCCAGATTAAAATTTGATTGATGGATTAACCAATAAAAGAAATAATGAAATGAATGCAGGTTTTGCTAAAATCGAAAGTTGCCCATTATGTGTCACCTCTTTTTATCCGCCTTGCTCGCAAAGAGTTTCGCCCACATCCTCTAACACCACACAGTCATCAACTCCGGAGAAAAAGATATGTTTAATTCTTTAATAAACATATTTTTATGACTTTTCAAGACGTGCAGATTCCCCATCTGCAAAATCTAAAATGTGTCAGTGAATATGAACATATGTGTGTGTGTCCGAGTTACCCAGATCGATGAGAATGGCGTGTTGCTGTGAGGTGAGCTGTTTCAGCAGCTCTTTGTATGGAGTGTCGTTGGCAGGAGGTCGGGAGGGGACCGTCTGTCTGAGCAGGAACTGTTCAGAGAGAAACTTCCAGATCTCGCCTCGATGCTGCCTCGGGACACCTGCCGAAGATGACAAAGATGAAGGAAGATAAAGGTGTGGTTGAGTGTGGAGGGGTAGTGCAACGGTGGAATGCAACCTGCTTTCCGTGACAACTGTTCAGATTCTGATTCTGTATGCAAATCATGCCCGTAATATGCAAATCATAGGGAGTTCTGATGTCAGGAGAAATGTGGTGAGGCTGCTCAGATGAGCCTTAACATGACTGTAGAAACACTTTCATGTCAGTCCAGTAACTGATTTAACTGAGTGACAGTGACAGTGACAGACAGGGAGCAGAGTCAGAGTTTGTCAGAAAATGCAATTCTTAGATTACAAATGTTTGGTTACAGCAGTGCTTCCCCCCCTCATTAGATCTGGTGACTGCGCTGGCCACTCCATTACAGACAGAATACCAGTGCTTCTTCCCTAAATAGTTCTTGCACAGTTTGGAGGTGTGCTTTGGGTAATTGTCCTGTTGTAGGAGGAAATTGGCTCCAATCAAGCGCTGTCCACAGGGTATGGCATGGCGTTGCAAAATGGAGTGATAACCTTCCTTATTCAAAATCCCTTTTACCTTGTACAAATCTCCCACTTTAACAGCACCAAAGCATCCCCAGACCATCACATTACCTCCAACATGCTTGACAGATGGCGTCAGGCACTACTCCAGCATCTGTTCACTTGTTCTGTGTCTCACAAATGTTCTTCTGTGTGATCCAAACACCTCAAACTTAGATTCGTCTGTCCATAACACTTTTTTCCAATCTTCCTCTGTCCAATGTCTGTGTTCTTTTGCCCATCTTAATGTTTTCCTTTTATTGGCCAGTCTCAGATATGGCTTTTTCTTTGCCACTCTGCCTAGAAGGCCAGCATCCCAGAGTCGCCTCTTCACTGTGGATGTTGGGACAGGCGTTTTGCAGGTACCATTTAATGAAGCTGCCAGTTGAGTACATGTGAGTCGTCTATTTCTCTAACTAGAGACTCTAATGTACTTGTCCTCTTGCTTGGTTGTGCACTGGGGCCTCCCACTTCTCTTTCTATTCTGGTTAGAGCCTGTTTGTGCTGTTCTCTGAAGGGAGTAGTACACACCGTTGTAGGAAATCTTCAGTGCTCTGCAATTTCTCGCATTGGAATAGCCTTCATTTCTCAGGAGAGATTTCTAAGTGACCCCAAACTTTTGAACCGTAGTGTATATCTTGTTTTGCTTAGAGCATTGCTCTACATTTCAGGAAACACCCTGTTCACACTCATTTATGCACATTCACACCTGGAAGCTGCCCAGTACACCCACAATGTGAACTGCTGGCTGACGGAGCAGTTGGCGATTAAGACAAAATTTCAACATTAATTTGTGAAATGCACTTGTTAGTTAGATGAGAAGATAGATACCTCTGTCTGTAAGATAAATATTCTGTAAGTCAACAGCAAATAGCCAGTTACCTTAGCTTTCCACCTAGACTGGAAACATGGGGAACCAGCTAGCCTGGCTCTGTCCAAAGTCACCTACCAGAGATATAAAGGGGGGTTTACATCTTGGTTCTAGTACTGACCGTTTGCCTAGTCTGGCACATAACCCCGAATAAAATGACAAATTGTTATTCTAACATTTGGGTGTTTTAAAATGGCAAGATATAATGTGTTTATTGCTTTAGAGATGCTGGTATGTGGAGTTGGGCTAGCTCTTTCCCCCTGGCTGTTTTTTTCTTTACATTGTGATGAGAAAGGGGAGATGTAGAATAAGCCATAACAGTAATACTAATGGCTAATTTCTAAGACTAATTATATCAACATAGGGCCTTTGCATAATAAAGAGCTCGAGATCACCCATCGAACTCTCAGCATGTAAAGATCACAGGAAGAGGTTTAAACATGTGACCTTGCAGCTTTACTCCTGACCTCCTCCTCATCAGATGGTGTGGCCACCATTTTAGTTCTAACACTGCTATTCACTGGCGAGTAGCCTTTCTGTGCGCATTTGTGTTCTGGACTTCCTCGCCTGGTATGTTTGAGACCGAAGGCAGAAGAGAACCCACACATGTCCTCAGGACATGCTGATATTAGAAAATGGACAGAACAGAAAGCCTCGACAATGAGAGATAGACACTAGGGGTAAAGGTGTTGAAGGGAAATACACACTGACTTTACTGTGCGCACAAAAGGTGAATTAAAAACACTTCATGGAATTTATGCTCTTTTCTTTTGCTGTATTTTGGAAAAGGGTCCATGCTGATGATAAGGAGAAATGTCACAACACATATTTTCAGTTTTGGAGCTTTATACATTAAGCTTTAGTCAATATTTGCTAATACCTGATGATTTTGAAAATGAACAAACATTTACAAGAAGCACTGATATATGTATTTGTGGAGCCAAATATGTACCTTGTGCAACAGCCGCATGTATGGTCTCTGTGTCAAATTTGACCTTTGCCCTTCCAGGAGTTCCCAACATCTTCTCCCAGACCAGAGTGACCTCCTTCAGACACGGAGTGATTTCCTCATAGTCCAGCTTCAGACGCTTGTTCTGCAGATCGCTCTCTGAGGCTACAAACAGAAGTACACAGACAATACACGTCAATGATGACAGTATAGTCATAGTAATAGTTACACCCCAGCGCCCTTTGTTTCAGTCTTTTAGTGTGCAGGATGTTGGCTCATTGGAGCTGAGGTGCCATCGCTGTAACTGGGAAACCTGGTCAGTGTTCCTGAGAGCTATTTGAGCCCACCTGTCCAGATGCCACAGTGCTGCTCTCGTTGTGCTGTACTTCTGGTTTTGTTTCGCACTGAGAAAATCTACCTCACATCAGCTACTGCACTCGTGCACTTTCATATATGACTGACACAGCCTTCCACACACTCTTTGTTGTGGCAAGCTAGCCTGTCATAACAATAAAACCAGCATAAAGAAGAAAATGACTCTCTAGCTTCTAAATCCTCCACTATGTTCATCAGCTAGTCTCTAACCGTGTCTGTCTGCTGACAGACGAATCTAATGAAGTGACATGCGAAACGCTCCTTTTTATTTTGTTTTTAATGTAATAAAACAGTCTCAATAATCCTATTATTCTGGTGTGCGCTGGAATATATTTTTGTTGTCTGGTTTACTTTAGTTTGCTCTGCAGAGGAACCCAGAAGAGGAACACTGCTGTGCACGGGGAATTTTCACCTTTGTGTCTGTCAGTTGTTGATGTACAGTAAGTTTTTGGTGATTTATCACTGTGAGCGAACCCTTTCACATTGTTTTTAAATTGCCATATACATTGATACAATATTATTATTAAAATATTTATTGTGACCACTTTAATGTCAGTAGCTGGCTCTGTGCTCATAGCATCACAAGGAATTTTAAATAGGAACACAAGGCAACACCTCTGGGTCTGTCTGACCCTCCATATCCTGTGGCTGGACACAATGCATCACACAGCTGGAATACAGTGTCCAGCTACAGTTTATGACATGTAAAACGCCAGCATTAGATCCAATCATATTGTAATTTGGAAGTTTGTAGATGACTCACAGGTGGACAGAAAGTCAAGGAATATCAGAGAGACCCTTTGGACACAGGGACTTATCAATATAATTACATCATATTCCCCATCTATGATACAACAGATGTTTTTTTTTTTTTTTGTATTCAAATCTGTGGGGGGAACCTTGGACATGGACTGAACAGATTAACACTACGTATGAACTGAACAGAAAGACACAAACTGTGAATTCCGTTGCAACATGTTGACACTAGTGATCAAAGAACGTGAGGGCACACCCAGCGCCCCTCATCTGTTCCTCTCTTTTTTGACAACACCCTTCCTTTCTCCCTCCGCTAATCTCTGAACCCACAGACCTGCTCTTCTTCTCTTTTTTCCAGCAACTCTTTCTTCTTATTTAATCCCACATTTCTCTTGTCCGTTAGCCACACTCTCCCTCTCCCTTCTCACCCTCCTTTGCCCCTGTGGACTTCCCCACCCTTTCCGCTCATGTGTGGCGTCCACCCAGTGACCAGCTGCAGCTTGGCAGAGCTGGGGAGTGACATCATAAGTACAGGACAGGAAAGAGACAGCAGGCCCCTTCACGTTCCAACCTGTACTAACACCTTCCAGGAAACTGAGGGGAAATTAGGTGTATGGCCAACAAGAGGGGTTAAGCCAACAAGGGGGATTAAGCTGTGTGTATTTGCATCAACAAAAGTTTGCAAAAAGTAAAATGGGGCAATTATATTAACACCACAGCTTTATTAACAACGAGAAAATGCTAATTTAGTGGCTTGCAATGAGTGCTTAGCAATGTTTGCATAGAACTCACATTCAAATCCAGAATAAAGGCATTTTAAAATTAACTTGGCACAAGATAAATTGAGAACATCTCTAGAGATCTGAATTCTTTTTATGAAGCGCTGTATATCATGGCCTCAGCAATCGAAGACAAAAAAGTAGCGGGAGTGACCTGGAATGCGTATTATGGATAACAGAGGAAGAAAACTTGGACGGAGCAGTAGCTGACACACCCAGAGTAAGAATAGATGCTATTGGAGAGGCCGTGGCTCTGCTGTCTGTCTTATCAGCTGTCTGGAGCAGGCAGAGTTTAGTCCATCAAGACTCACTCATTGGCTGCGGCCCAGCCAGCGCAGCTCAGTCTCACCACTCTCCAACCTCTCCTCGCCTCCCGCTCTCCATTTCTCTCCTTTTCTGTCACCGGAACACTCCGCCCATGATAACACAACATGATAGGATACCCCACCCTGGAGCGGACAAAGATACACACACACACTTTCACAGTTGACCCATTAACCAGGCAGCAATGAGAGAGATAAACCGAAAGAATGGAGGACAGGGATTGAGCTCCACCCAGACAAATAACGGACAGAAAGGTGGAGCGCACCCTCTGGGAGGAATAAAACACAATTAAAACTACAGACGCCCAAGAAAGCTGCTACACACTGTAGACGTGTATGTTGTTGTGTGTTGCGTGTGTGTGAATTAATGGTTTGTATACAGTGCAGGTAGTTAGGTGTGGCTCAGAGCTAGGTGTGTGTTAAAACGTGCCAACTGGGTCAGGAAAGAGGAGGTGCGCATGGCACGCCCTTAGATATGGATACACAAGCGCGCGCACACACACACACACACACTATATATTATGTAACCTCTTCATTTGAGGTGGGTCCAAATATTTCAAGAAAACAAAACAGGTATGCACTTGATTACCTAACCTGTGTGTGTGTGTGCACATCTGGAAAGAAATGTTGCCAAGACAAAAAAATAGACAAACAAACTCATCATGTGATGTGATTAGGCGTGAATAAATTGTGATGCAGGCTCACCCTGTAGTTTCTGGTTCTCCCTCTCCATCCTCTGCAGGAGGATCTGCTGCAGGATGGCCTTCCTCCAGAGCTCCCTCAGCTCCTCTTTGCTCCTTTTTGTCCTCTCCTCAGGCACCACCCTTATGGATGAGTCCCCACTTCCACCAGCTCCCACCTGGCCCACACACACTCGACCCCCTTCTAGACAGGGGTCCCCCCGCTCTGAAAGACATATGAGATTATATTACATTAGATTCAATCAGATTACACCACATTAGGTGTCTATTATAGCAGTAAATAAGAGATTACAGCAAATAAATAACAATAGAGATAATAAGCATGTGATTAACATATACTCAAAGTATAAATAACACTTTAATCATAATATTTATAAGCAAGTTGTGTGAAACAACAGAGCTTGATAGGAGAAATGAAAATTAAATATAATAAATATCAAACAATATAAAGATGCATACACAAAAAACAAAATAAATGTATATACATTTTCTATATTTACAGAATATGAAAAACACATCTTTTTATTGAAGTTCATCAATTGACCCACAGTCAAAAAACCCAACAACCCACAATCCTTCAGACACTCTCACAAAATTAAAAAAAAAAAAAAGCTAAACACAAGATATATTTGACACAGTCAACGCACACACAGTAAAAAAATGTGTTTGTGTGACTCCACCCAAAAGTACAGGGTGGATCCCAAACCTCAAAATACCCTGTGTTGTTTATAGGAAGGACATAACAACTATCCAGATAGCACTTGCTTCTCTTTCAGTTCGTAGGAACATCACAATTCAGTTTGATCTACACACAAACACGCATTCACATACCATTACTTGGCTTAGGTATGTGAACCTGATGCTTATCTTCCCAAAGACTCTTCTGAGGAAATTTTAGAAATATGTAAGATAAGTCACCCTTTTAATCCTCCAACAGTATGTCTGTTGTATAAACACAAGCATACATCAACTCAATATACACACACATATACGACGACAATAGCCTTCTCTGTGCCAGATGAGGTTAACATTTATGTATGCCTTTGTGTCTGTATCAGGGAGACTTAGCAAGACGTGCGGAAACCAGCAGAGCACATAGCTGAAGAGTTAGCTTTTAGGTGCGAAAATTCATGGATGCACGCACACACACTTGCACAAAGTGGCACGATCCACTCCCTGAGCAAACACTCCAACTTGGCCAGAACCAGGTCCCAAGCACACACACACACACACACACACACACACACACACACATACACACAACATGCAAAGTGGGTCAACAAGGCTGGCGCTTTCCTCTGGCGCTGTCTGTGTGTGGACTGTCAACATGACCTTGAGACACCTCCACCCCCTCCAATACGTACACACACACACACACACACACACACACATTCACACAAACACTCACTCGACACACCCATGACCTCATGTATGTAAGCACACACATAAATACACACCCAACTTGCATTCAACCAGCACAAAGCCCATCACACTGACATGCTTAAAGCACTGTTTTTCCGGCAGTTGACTGTCAAAATAAACTTGAGTTACAGATTTAATTAATGATGAGGAGAAATTACTTAAATTAAATGATGTGACAGGCCTTAACGTCACTAATTCCTCATGAGAAGTGCTCAGGGGGAAGGTGGATAAAAAGGTCACATTAGTCCCATATTCCTGATGCATTTATTAGACCCAAATACAGAATCCAGTGGGGTGAGTGCAGAAGTGAACAAATCAGTGGGAACTCCATACAGTGTAATGTAATAAATTACTCTTGTAAAACATGCTAATTTTATTAAGGTTATAAAGCTCAGTTGTCGAGACTGCATCAAAGAAGAGTCAATTGAACTGTATGGAAACATTTGTAGCTGCTGTGTGTGGAAATTTTAGACTTTGGCACCTCCCAGTGGTGGCATAAACAAGACACAGATGCAGACAGCCAGCCTGTTACTGTCCCTTTCAGTCCGTGTTTGGGGTCTAATAGTGACCAGTCTTCCTTTTTCTAATGAAGCCTTGGTTGTCAGGATTTTGGAGAGCTTAATACCAGTCATTCGTGCAAAGTGCCTTTGAAAGTTTAACTTAACATTTCTTCAGACAAAGACATGTCTGAAATAGAACGTCAGTCCTGTTTGCTTGAATGAAAATTAACAGTATGAGCTTAGAAGACCAAACAACACTGGCATCGTAGGACTGCCATCACTATTATTTTGCCATGGCTTGTACCGTCATGTCTCTAGCTCCTTTCTGTGTGTTTTATATGTGATTTATGTATGCAGGAGGGGTCAAACAAAGTGATATGTTTTGGATTTAAGGGAGTTTACAATGACACAAACAGGTAGACTGGATTGTTAAAGAATTGTGTTATAAAATATGAGAAAATTTCTCAACAAAAAGCAAACACAGATATGTGTTAAACAGTGGTCACCTCTAAACCCCTCTCCAAAACGTACTCAAAGATATTTCGTCATGAGAAACTGTGACCTTTGTGAACACTGTTTTGACTCAAAACCCCTACACAGTGTGAATAAAATACTAATATTCAACTGCATTATACTGTAATGTGATTCTATTATCCACTGTCAGTAGTTCAAATGACTCACACAGAATAATGGGTGCTGTGCAACTGCTGTTGCCTTGTATAACATGGTGAATGATTCTATTTTCTGTAAGAACAGAAAGCAGAAGGGACTTACATCCATAGATGCCACCATTTAAAAAGATGTCGTAGACGTTTTTGGACACTACCGAATACCCCATCAGGGGACTATCTGTAAAGACTTTAATACAACCCCCTTCAAAGGCCTTCAATGTCACTGATAATGGGTGATGAAACTAGCCCTTCTCAATACATTGTTTCAAAAGCTGAACGTACACTATTCCCAACCTAAGTTTGTAAGTGTACCCCCAGGGGTTACGCAATATAAAAATGTGATTTGCATTTTCAGTCAAAATAACATGCAATCTTAAACAGTCTGAATAGCCCAGTAACATTGCTGAAAATACTCTCATATAATACCCTCTAGTGTTCAGCACTACAATTACAATGGCAACAATAGCCACAGGTTACTTAAAACATATGGATAAAGGTTAGCACCTTCGTGAGAATTACACTCGCTGATAACGTGGGTAGAGATGCTCATCCCGGTTGGTGAGTGTAAATGGATGGAGACTCACAAAATACAAACACTGGTCTAATAAAACATAATCACTTAAGTACTTTCTGTCTTTTCCTAACATAAAGGTATTATGTGTGAACATGTTTTATATGAGCATATGTGGATCAAAAATTTCCCTTGTTTTTTTTTTTTTTTTTTTTTTTTACATGGTTTGCTCTTCTTACAGGCGTTACAGTGTGACCAACCCAAATATCTGAACTGTCAACACTTGTTCTGTCATACACACAGTATATGTAATTATCAAAAAGCAGGATCTGAAGACGTGCAAGCACATGCATGATTCCCACGTCTGCTCAGACACATACACACGTTTCTGTGGACACATACTAAGATAAGACTGATGATTGATATTTCAAAGGTATCTGAAGTTAAAGCAATATTTCACTCAATGTAGAACACTGTTTTCTACTTGTATCCTTCACATTTCAAAATATTTAACAAGGCTGTCAATATCCAGGTAGACATACTTTTGATTATTTTTACTCACCAAAGGCATTCAAGCTTCACATTCATTTCACTTCAGCCCTGTGTGCATGTGCACGTCAGTCACTCACAGTCTGATAACAATGGAGATACATGAGCTCCTGGTTATTTTGGTCTTAAGTTTAGACTAACAGGGTGCCCTGCTCTGCTGAGAATGGCATTGGGCTTCCTGGCTTCCTACACATAATGTATGCTTTATATATTTTAATCAATTTTCCCTCAGCACAAAGTTTTTTCGAGTTCTGAGGATAAAATCCTTAGGAACACAAAAGTAAAATAAACAGAAACAAATTACCATTATTACCATTATTATGTCATCATGTCAATATGTGTTTTATGCATGGTTTCTAGACTAGGATTTCAAGAGGAAAGTACATTAGAAGTGGGTACAATAGCCAAAACTGATCCCAAATCCAAACCAAAAATGCTTGAATGAACATGAATATCAGTGTTAAGGAACACCATGGGAAAGATGGCAGGTAGTGGAAAAACTGCCAGGAGGGAGGTGATAATAGCCACTTCAAGTTCATACAGGAGAGAAAGAGCTATGGTAAAGGGATCTATTCTCATTCCCTTCCCCTTTTTTAAACACACACGTACCATGAGATTAAATCAAAGAGTGACACAGAGTGGAAAGGCTTTGTCACTGCACCACTGTCTACACAGGACCTTGGCTGTTTTTAATAATAACACAGGTGACGCAGCAAATGTGGGGAGTCTTGCTCATCTTTTTATTTTGGTAGGATACTAAGCATGCATGAACGCCAAAGAACATGTGTGTTTACACAAGAGCCTTGACCTGTCTTCCTCTAAGGAAGAAGACAGTTCTTCTAAGGAAGACAATATATTGAAGTTTACAACTGGAGCATGTAAAGTAATCCCTGTGTAAAGATCTCATCTGTCAAAGCTCTTTTATGCTACAGACGCTTACACTCACTAAGTGCACGAAGCAGTATTTTTGTTTTTTGTAAAATCTAAAATCTCTAATCTAAGAGACATACGGCATGTTTATTGATGACAGTAAGCAAAATATGTGTATAATTCACTGTTTGATACAGTGAATTATACAAACTTGGTACCAAATGCTTTACCCAGTTTGTGCTAAATATCCACCTTCTCCGAGTTCTTGATAACACTTCCCTCTCTTCTCTTTCTCTCTCTCTGTCTCTGTGTTTCTCTTTAAAAAGTTCAAATGCGTCGCTGGACGTTAAAATACCAGAGTGGCCCACCCAAGTAAAGGCTGACACTGAGACCTTAATATTTCATATTTTGTTACATGCTTAATTGAAGATTTGCATAACCGTTCTAAATAAAAGGAGAAAAATAATCAAATATGATATGATATATAAATCAGTTTGTGAGTGTGATCTTTACCATTGGCTTCTGTGTTCTTCTGAGGTGTAGCCACCCGTAGGAAGATCTGCTGCCTCCACGAGTGGCGGTGGCTGCGCAGAGGACTTTCCCCTACCCAACATGCTGCACTTGGTGTGGACAGAGCTGCTACATCACTAAAACACAAATAAGCGCACACACAGGAATGGCTACATAATATGTCCTGATAAACGTTCAGTAGGTAGTAACACACTCACATTCATTTACATATTAAAAAAATACTTAAATTCATGTGATCAAGTGATCTATGACACAAGGAGCTACAGCTATGCTGGACACACTAACATCGGTGTGATTGTTTGGTGTACATGTTTGTCTACCTGCTCTTTGGCTCAGGACAATCGTTCTCATGGACAGGGGCCAGAAATTGAAATTTCAGAAAATTAGGGACAGAGGAGGAGGAGTGGAGACGAGCACGCAGACCACCCAGAGGACTGAGATGGAGAATTGAAGTGGAAAAAAAGAAGAAGCAGAAAACAGGTAATAAAGAGAAACTTAGGCCCCGGTCACACAGAGAGACACATTGCTTAAGAGAGGTGCTTTTGAACTCCATTGTGGAGTGCTGAAGTAAAAATAAAAGCAGAAAATAGTTAAACTTTTGAAGAGACACAGCTTCCATCACCTTTCAAACTCTACTCAAACAATAACTGACATGTTCAGTATCTCGGTCTGAATGGGGCCTGACATAATAACATAACATGGAAAACAAGGTCAAAAGAAGGCTTGAACAACTAATAAGTGCACATAAAACAGAAAAATTGCATGAGATACTGCATGAGTTTTACAGAAAGCCTGTGCAGTATTCTCACCTTCTTTTATTGAACCGGGCTCCAGAAGAAGGTGAAGAAGGATGATGAGGGAGAAGAGGAGAGGGAGATGAAGGGCAAGTAGGAACAGGTGGAAGGGTGGAGTCAGTTGGGACATTTCTGAGAATCAGTGCAAATATAAAAAGAAAAAGCAAAGAGAAAGAGAGCAAAGACAGTCACAGACATTGAAAAAGTATGAAAACAGAAAATACATAGTGAAGGAAAATGAAAGAAAAAAGCTTTTTGACGGCGGAGTGGTGAGACACAGATTGGGATTTGAAATTAGTAGAGTACTTCAGAGTACTTCACTGATTTAGAATCACACTCCCATAACACTGTCAGACTCATGATGGACAGTTAAAAAAAAATAAAAAATACAAGAAGAAAAGTCAATGCAGCAGAACCAAAGATATCGTTTCTTTTTTTATTCCACGCATTATTCTTCCTTGCCAAAACCTGGTGCCTACGTTACCCACAATGCAACTAGACCGCCGACACTTCAGCTGGAGATTTGAGTGTGTTATGCTTAAAAGCAACTATGTAGCCTTCAGCTGCTAGCCACAAGTAAATATGAGGATCGGGCAACAGAGATCTGGCAAGTTCATTTTCAAACAAGCCCAAACCGATACTGGCTCAAGTAAAATCACTTGAGAAAACTATTAGATTTCACGCAGCTCCCCCTGTAGCCACAAAAGGCTGTATATGCTTTTGTCAAATACTGGTATGCAGTAGTCCTCCCCAACACCTGTAAACAGACTTGGAGGGATAAAATCAGTGAAATTCCGCTTTAATTATAAGGGTTGCTATCACCAAGCACAACTTTACGTCAATATGTTTATTGCTCAGATAAATATGGAGAAGAAGCAGAGTTTGGTTCAAGAGCAGAGAAAACAAAGTCAGTTTTTGATAAGCTTCATAGATTTTAAAGAGATAGAACGTCACTTTTCCAACAAAACTCAACTACTTCATGCATTAAGCTGGCTGTATACTTCAATATGTACAGTAGTTCTTTATACCTGATCTGCAGTGTGTCGTTTACCTTTGACACAAATACCCCTGCCTGTATGACATGCTCTACTGAACATGCGTCACCATTTATAGAGACTCAATTATACATAAACACATAAATCTAACCCCAACATCTACTGTACTTTGTCTCTTACACTTCTCTTGCTTGCCCACTTTTGTTCCCCTGCTTTCTTTAGCCCCTCTTTCTCTTAAAACTCTAATAGAAACAACCCCAACCCTGAAACACATGTTCATCAAAGCCAGGTTGTGTGTAGGGATGGGAGCTGAAAAAATTGTCCAGTCCATCTGAATTGTATGCCTCTGAGCCTATCAGTTCCTTTTATCAATGCTGGCATGTTTTTACAGAGAGTTGTGCATAGCAAAACAATGACATCAAACTTATTGGTCTGTATTACTGTAATCTTGCAACAAGAAGGAGACTTGGCAGAGAGGAAGAAAGGAAGTTTGTGAAGCCAAGTTATGTATGTATGTAGTTATGTATGTAAATACACTAAACTCAGATTTAACCCCTTCACTGTATTGTACCAGGAAGGGGTATAAAATGTTATACAGTGAGGTAGGAAAGTTATTGATGTGCAACATATCAATTATTTAGCCATGGAAATACTTGTGTCCAACACTTGCATGTTGTATTTCACATCTGCTAATGTGATGTGACGCGATCTCAGATCTCATAATATTGAATACTACTGAATAAAATTAAGCAATATTTGAAATAATTTACTGGTTCGTGAAAACACAAATACTGTACAAACACACACACACACACACACACACACACACACACACACACACACTTTCCTTACTTGCTCTGGTGTGGAGAGTCGGTGCTGACGGAGTAGTGTCGTACGAGCTTGGGCTTGGTAGCTGCAGTAGGGTCCTGTGGCGTGTGAGTTAGTGTGTGCACCGGTGAGTACTCTGCTGAGGAAGGGGTTGGTGGATGGCTGAAGGTGCTGGCCCGTCTGCGGAAGCCTTGTGGCTGAGCGTCACCGGGTAAAGAGGAGGAGGAAGGAGAAAGGGTGAGAGAGGAGTCAAGGCGCTTCAGGTCTCCTGTTGAGTTGTGGCACCTGTGGGTGATGAGCAAAGCTTGTGAGGAGAAATGCATGTGTCAACACAATATAACGACCATCTACACAGTATTATGTATGCAAAAATGTTGCTGTGATCCACAATCCCTCTAAAGGGGGGAGTTGAAGACCTTAATGCACATTTGGGTTTACCAGGTTTGTCTGGTAACTTCCCACCATCCCCTGATCCACCAGGTAAGCTCTACTCTAAACCATATCTAGTCAGCAGACCAAAGCTTGGCATCAGAGCCAACTGCTACACCTAATGATGTGGGCAGCCACCCTGTGCTCCATTACAAGCTCAGCTCCCAAGCCCAGCTCCAGGAGTGTCTCCATCAGTGTCTCTTTTTCTGGCAGCTGGTCCCAAGGACACAAACATAGGACTATAAATGGCTCCTAGTGTTTCCCTCACCTGGGAGACCATACCAAGAGCTGTTGTTGCTGTCTAGGGAGATCTGGTCATGACTGCTCTTCAAAGTAAAGATAAAGGAGTAGCTATCACCTTCTTCACTGTTGTCCCTTTGAGCTCAGAGTCACAAAAAACCCCTATAATCATAAAATTCAAATAAACAAGTAACCTTTAAAGCACTGACTGCTCTGACTCATGTTACGAGTCAGTGTGTGGGCATGTGTGTTTAGGTGTGTTTACCTGAGGGGGCTGGTGGGTCGCAGGTGGGCGGAGGCAGGCAAGGGGTCATCCAAGCAAGACTGGTCCTGGCTGCTGTTCACCGTACAAACTGAAGAGCCGCTGTCACTTCCTACACTGTTGTCCCTCTGAGCTCTGGCCTTGCTGCTCCCCTGCAAAAACACAGATGCCGAGGTTGTATACAGTACGTGGCTTTTGCATGCAGTACAGACACTACTACATTAAAGATCCATAAATCTATATCACATATATGACATAAATCTCAATTTATATGTTCAAAATGTAAGGATTTACAGGATTTTTTTCTTTTTATCGAGAGAAAGAATTTCTACCTTCCAGATTCCCTCCAGGGACTCAGTGAGAGAGCGCTTGGCTCGGCTCTTGAATTGCTCAAGCCGCTGCCGACTACTACTCTGCTGCTGCGCCTCCACTGGGGCTGAAGCTGCCTCCTCACACGCCTACACACACATGAAGAGAGAAAGGGAGACAGAAAGGGAGACAGTGAGTGAGAGAAGGCGGTCCTTACAAGTACAGTATGACACTTATTGTCTTTGTGAGATAAAGTGATAAAATACTTTATTCAAGTAATCTTTCCTTGGTGAACTAATTCCCTGTTGACACTATAAACGAACAGTAGGACATAATTGGAATAGAGAGGAAATGAGTAATAGAAAGCTGCTAGAGAGAGAGCTGGTACAGTAGTGCACACAGTTACCTGTTTGCTGTCTCCAGACAGTGTGTGTTGATGACTCCGCTGTCTCTCCTCATACAGATTCCTCAAAGAGGCCATCACTAACTCATTCTCTTCCTGATCGCTCTTAGGACGAGCCCTCTGAAACACACAGAAACCACATATATCCATGACAAATGATATATATTTGAATGTTTTGTGCAGCAGGTTGCTACAGTTTCAGGCTAAATTAAGTATCAATTTCCAAGGTCAAGAGCCTAAAACAAGGTTATGTGTGATGAGTATGAGCAGTGAAGTTGCAGATTGCAACCATTTGAATACAGCTCGCTTCCAAGCGTGTAGCAGAAACTACAGTGGCTGCAAAACTTGCATAACAAACCAAAAGGCCCTATCTAGAGCCCGTGTTTGGTTTGTCTATTCTGGGATATTATAGAAACATGTTGCTTTAACATGGCGGCGTCCATGGAAGAGGACCAACTCCCTCTGTAGATAAAAACGTCTCATTCTACATTAACAAAACACAACAATTCTTATTTTCAGGTGATTATGCACTAATGAAAACATACATATGAATATTATATTCCATTTCTGTCAATATATCCTCCTAAATTTTATGCACTGGACCTTTAACAATTAGTTGCACATTGAATTTGTTGCTTTTTGGGAACAAAACCAATGTTTCCGAATGAATGTTAGAAAGGCAGTAATCTGCTGATGAGACCCATTCAGCACTGTTGGGTGCTGCATTGCAGTTCAAGTACTTCACCAGCAGATGTCAGCTTAGTCATAGATAAATATTTGAGGGCGGTCGCCTCTCAAGACTTTACAACAATCTGTAGTAACAATGCTGGACACATACATTTACATGACAATACGCTTATCAAAGAAATCCACTTGTGTTTCTGGGAAAAGAGACTGAAGCATTGAGTGAGCCAAAGAGAACAAAATAGATCACCAGGGAAACAGAGAGATGAGGTGGCAGAAATATTTAAGTAATGTGTAAAGACAAATCTGTGTGTCAGCGTCCCTTTAAATCCCACATGAAAAACTGCAGCGATTCAGTCATAAGGCATACAATTGCAGACTGAATGGATTGTTTCTGATTGCACTCACCTCAAAGGGAACTCTAGGAATTCGTACCTTGCATTACAGGAGACAGACAGAACAGACCACATACCATAGTGTTTTCAAAGACTGAAGCTTGCTCCTGGTTGTCCAGTGTGGCCAAGTGCCTCTGAAGCTCCAGCTTAGTTTTAGATGGATGTAGACCTGAACAAGACGTAAATACACAATAAGAGTTATCTTTAGATGTGTTTCACATATAGTATGTGTGTGTTTATAGGTTATGTAGGGACTATGGGTGACGCCCCCTTAGTTTCTCTGTTAAGTAGCATAATATTCAATTTTAAAGCACAGCTGTCACACATTTGCACACTTTTAGTACTAAGTACATTCAGAGCACTCAGACAAATTCATCAAAAATTTACACGGGTATTCCTTTTCTAAATTCTCTGAGGGCACTGGAGAGCTGCTTGGTAACTTGAAACATGAAAACCAGCAAATCTGAACTTGCATAAAAGTGCCAGTGTCCAGTCCAATAGCTGCCAAGATTATTTTCTAAATTACTGATGCTGAGACGCAAGTCAGATGACATTGTAAGAGCTTTGTTGTGTGGAAGGTTTGATACGTCTGTTGGGCGTTCAGCTGACAGATCAAGTTTCTGTTCTTCACACAGAGGCTCTGACTATATCAGTCCTTCTCTTTCTTTTATCCATTGAACTGTCAACTTGCAGAAGACATTTTATACAAATATCAAATATTTATGAAATCCAGTGCTAGGAACAGCCTTTGTCACTATATTAAGATGACATAAAGAGGTATCAAACTATCAACATTAATCCAATTAACTATTTCCTGACATGTAGTGTAAAGGAGTGCATTGACAGTTTTCTTTACCTTCTATCCTCTCACACAGTCTGTGGAGCTGCTGCATGGGGCAGCTGTCACACTGCTGACTCTGGGTCTTTGCATTCTGCTGCAGGGCAGCCACAGAGAACGCCTGCTTCAAAGTCAGCATGATCTCATCCACCTACAGAAGCAAAATACAGTCCTTATGCTTACGCACATCCATCCTTCATCAGATAGTCTTTCAATTATTTGTCAGTGCATTTATCAGTTTGATTCTACCAGTGTTCACATAAGCTTCTTTTTAAAACTATGTTTTACTATAGAGAATTATTTGAACAAAACCACACGGTTTTCTTTTGACTAATAATTGTTTAATATTTAGGATCCTATATCAAGGTAAGTTTCAATATATGTGGGAAATCTGGGTCTTTGCAGATATTATATCTTATGCAGTATAAGTTTTTCTTTCTATCTTTATAATTATATTATTACTTACATTAGAAGTAAGAACTAGGGATGTCCCGATCAACTTGTTTTAGCCAATCCGATTTAACATTCCTGATCCGATACTTTTTAAATAATACAGTTGCATAACATATGCTTGACAATTATCTGTATTCTCTGTATTGCAGTAAGAAACAAAATGCCTGCATCAAAGTTGTTCCTCAATGTTTTTTATTTATTTAGCCTACACAATAAAGTATAAAATAACTGCAGGAAGTTTATTTCTCTAGTGTTTGCTGCTTCAGTACATCTTCTACATAAATTACCTGAATGAACTTTATTCATTCTGTATTTTGCTGTGTTTATTTCTGTCGTCTCTACATCTTTTGCGCGGATTACATTAACTAATTACTTTTACTGATGTTTATCAAGCCCAATGACTCATTATTTGAAGAATTACAGGAAGCATCTATCTAGCGTAAGCCAATCACACTGCAGCATTAGCTGACCATTACACATGAGTAGAGTACATCCACCTAACGACCAAGGCTTTTTTCTTTTTTATCAAGCTGACAGTCCATTTGGCACAACATGACTCAGTGGAGCACAGATGGCCTGAGTCATAGGTCTAAAGAATTAGAGCCGAATTTAATCTTGATTGGTGGAAAATATCAGCTTCACGCACTGTGACACTCGAATTTAAATCCAAGGCAAACTTGCAAGGTGTTAAACTGAGTGGGCCAATCAAATATGAACACTGAGTGGGCCACACCGGTATGGGAATAGATGGTTATGTGAATTTAGTTACAGGAAATACACATAATGCTCAACTGTGCACTGTATTCACATAAACAACCATACAAAAGACGTTTCTAGGTGTGTACATGTGCTTTTTTTAAACAAATGAATGAATAAACTGTTCCAACAGAAATGTGCCCATTTGAAATTTTTTGCATTTTTTACTGCTTTGTTTTGAGTAAAAGAAGCTCTGGATAAAGGCAGAAAAAATATACAAATGAGGGCAAAACACATTATTATTACATTTTTTACACAACATGTCCCATCCCCTTCCTGCCATGCTCTGTTTTCCCTTCATTATCCATCGCTCACCAGTGATTCGTCGGTGCACTGGAAGACATAGCAAACAAAGTGGCAGCTCCCTCCTTCCACTGTCTCCCTGCAAATGAAGCCAAAGTGATCCACGTGACGAATACCCTGGAAAGAAAAGATCAGGAGGTTTAAGGATTCAGAATAGGTTTAAACATCACACACAGGCCTAAACAGACAATTACGTGGAAGAAAGGACTTCATACCTGGGAGCAGAAGGAGATTTCTCTGAAACTCTTCTCTATGGCAACTTTCTTAGTGTCAGGACTAACCAAGAAGATCTGAGACCTGCCCACCTAAAACAAAGAAAAACACAAAGACAAAACAGTTAGACTCAGTGTTTAGTGTGTGCTTCTGTGTGTGGTGAGGTTTGTGGTGTTGTTGTGAGAGCAGTAATGAGCCTTACACACAAGACCGCTCACACTGAAACTTCAGTTATTTTGTGACATTTGTCTCACATATAGATATAATTAATGTCAAGAAAACTATCAATTAAACTGCTGTGAACCTCAACTACACGCCTTGATAAATTTAATCTTTTTAGTTATATTCTAAAATAATCGGATGTGTCAAATGAGGCAGTTTAATTTCTTCTATATTCAAAAAGTACCAATGTATTTTAAGACAGTTCCGCTTTAGGGGATAATACCATTCATGTCATCATCAGGACATGAGTCACTACACTCCTAAACCTCAAAAAGGGACTCAGTTGTGATCTCATCTATCGTAAGTCTTCAAGCTCTGAGAGCACAGCTTTTCTTTCTGTGAAAAAGCTTCCCTTTAATTTACTTCTGTATCAAATATGAATCACATAATTAGACTCTGTCTAGAGGAAAAGAGGGGATTTAATCTGTGTCCTCAAAACTGAGGAAGTGATGTCACCAGGATGAGGTCATTCTGTCAACTATCCATGGCAGCAGTAGGGTGTATCGTCAGTGTCAATAATGTGTCTGTATTTGCTGAGAGGGACAGTAACAGGCACTTCTGGTTCCTGTGTCAGAGGTCACCATTTCCTGTCTGGGGGACAAACAGGAAAACTGTTGGCAGAAGGTCACAGAGGTCATATAAAGGCGAATAAGGGGAGCGTATCTAAGCTCATTTTGAAGAGCGGTCAGCAGTTGCTCTTGCTGAGTCATTAGGGGATTTATATTCGTCTGTCTTCAGCTCTTTCCCTCCCTGTCCTTTATGAGCATCTGTGTATAAGGACTTGTTATTTAGGAAAACCAAAATTGCATTTAACTGCACTACAAAGTCTTCTTATTCTTAATCTGAGAAAACCATTGTATGTGAGCTGGAAGAATTCAAACAAACTAAAGAATGTTCTCCTTAAAAGCAGTGCGCTTTCCTATATTTGGAGGTGATAATGAATGTGCAATAATGCTGAATGGTAAGGCTTTTAACCTCTGCCTTGGCTCAATCTTAATCACCCACAAAAATGGTAATTGTTTTTTTTCTCTATACCAAGAACTGAGCATTACTCAATGCATTTTTTTTAAAGGGTACTCCACTCTAAAACAGCTTTTTTGAGAGGGGTTGGCACGTAGCAAAGGGCCTCAGGTCAGACTTGAACCCATGCCCACTGCTGCAAGGACACAGTTTTGGCACATGATGCACCAGCTCCACCAGGTGAACTACCTGGGCATGCATTTAGTGGGGCTGAATATAAAATATCTTTAAAGAAAAGTTTCTGTAATTTTACTGTTAGATTGTGATACGCACACAGAACATGAGACTGCTGCACCACCCAAAATTATTGTAATCTTGCCTGTGCACTATTGTGCGAGTGAATAAGCCCTAGATTATTACACTTTGTGTGTGTGTCCCACTGGGGAGGAGGACCTATATCTGTTTGAATCACATTATTTTAATTATTGGGGACAGATATAGTAATTAACCTGTTAACTTGTTTATATTTTTATGAACATGTTTGGCATTGAGTGTATTTTGGATTTGCACCTTACTGATATTTTTCAATGTATTTGCACACTTTGTACTAAAACTGCAACAGAACAATTTCCCTCGGGATAAATGAAGTTCTATCTAATCTTAAGATTTTGTTTGATATTTTGGAAAATGATTATCAAATAAAGAATATAAAAATGGAAGCAAAGTAATTAGAGCATACCTGCTATTGTTTGTGTGTGAGTGTCCATTCATTAAAATTACCGTAAACAGCATGGTCCTGTTCTCCTGCAGGCTGGTGGGCTGTACTCCAGCAGAGTGGGCGTGTGCGTCAGTAGTGTTGGTGTGAGAGATCTCTGGTGAGAGTCCATTCTCATCCAGGGCCTGTAGACAGGGAAAGCTGGGGTCTCTTTTGAACAGGACTGGACGCTTCATCGTGGTTGGGCTCCCTGCTGCACCATTACCAACGCCACCACTCCCAAGTCCATTGGATGGCAAGGTTAATACCCTCCTTAGCCCACCCACCAATCCCCCACCATTCCCTCCTTTATCACCAAACCCTGAGCCATGCAACTGGCTGAACTTCTCGATGCACTCATCAATCAGGGCAGGTGGGGCTTTCTTGTGAGCGACGCTCACGCGGCCGCAAAACAGCACCTCAAACTTCTTGGCAAAGGTTGTCGGAGACACAGCAATAGAGTGTGCCACGGAGGTTGTTGTTGTGGAGAGAGAAGAAACCCGTGTATCAGAGGGGTCGCTGCCTCCACTGGAAGTTTTGCTGGAAAGGATGGTGACGTCATCGCTGCGTGCCGAGCTCTTGCCAGCCTGCCTCAACGCACTGATGATCTCAGGAACCTGGAGAGAGCAGAAGATAAGAACTTTCAACTACTGGAAAAAAACACACTAACTTCCTACGTACAGGTACAGTAATAAATATGGTTAGTATCCATTTGAGCAAGATAAGATAAACAACCTTGAAAACACTTTACTCAAAATACACAAATGACTTCAGGACTGAAAGCCCATGATACAACAATGAAACTACATCAGATAAGGCATCCAATCCCTCTTTGTTCCTAACCATCAGTTGGACTCAACATGATGAACACATATTAAATTGCTTTAGGTATGCTAGTCTTCTATTCTTCCCAAACCACGTACATCTGAAGCTCTACATTTGGAACCTGTTTAATAGTATTAAACACTTTGAATTTGTTTTACCCAAAAATCCTCATAATTTTTCTATCAACAAGAATTTAGCAAATTCTATCAAGATGATATCGTGGTGCAAATATGGTTCCAATGCACAGATTTTTACCCAGTAAACTTACACACTACCGTCAAGTTCGGGTCTTGGCTAAGACAAAAAAAAAAAAAAAAACACCTATAAACATCTAATATGACACATCTGAGCTGCGTAAGAATTGGCCATGCTTTAAAGTATTTCTCTTGCACATCATATCCGTTACCACAATAAATCTCTTCAGTTACTTCATTTTGACTTTGATTAACTGCCTTCTTCATTTCTAAAGTTTGTACTTGACTGGGTGCTCATGCTGTTTAACTGGTGGCTGGATGTCCAGAAACAGGTGGCTACAGTATTAACACTGAAACGATCACTTAATACAAACTGCACGGATCACAAATGTTCCATTTATCAATGTGGATGCCGCTGCCACACCTCACTATGAGCTAACCTGCCATATGGTGTAATGTGTGTTATGGTTCCCTTGAATAGAGCAACCCTTGTGATATCTTCCTGTGTTGAAAAGAAGCCGAATTGTGACCTTTCGTCTCAAAGCAGGCTTTGTACTCACTTTCCCTTTATTTGATTCCCGTCTCTTTCCTTTCCTCCTGACTCCTCCTTTCCCTTTTTTCTCTTCTCTCCCCATAAACTTTGCACCTATTTTTTCTCTCCCATGGCTCCTTTTTTTCTTATAAAACTATTTAAAGTTGAATGTTTTCCAATATCCCCATCTTGATATATTTGTATTGTGTGTATTTTGGCTCTTTGCCAGCTAAATGCCCTCAGCCGGCCACTGTTTGTGTGTGTGAAAGAGAGACGGATAGATAGACTATCTATTCCAGGTCTGTTCTGAAGATGAATGACCATTTCAGTTGTTCGTACCTACTTATCATTTTGGCATTAACACAAAAATACACACAAACGGGATTATACGAATAGTAACATAGTAACAAAGACTAAAAATGCAACTGACAAAGAGAAGGAGAGTAGAAACATAATTAACTCCAGTGCTCCAAAACACATACTATAAACTCACCAGCTGACATGTCAAGTGCTCTCACAGAGAGATCATAAACACATGGTTGCTGAAACTGGCAATATCAAATTAATTCAATATATCAGATAAAACTCAAAGGCACAAAATTGCTAATGTCAACAAAATGAGGAAGCTTTAGGAGGCCAGTATTCACTGCTACTGTTTACTACAGCAGGAACCTGCCCCTGCTGAACCGGCAACATCCTTCTAAATGCAGCAATAATTGATTTATTTGGCTGTAAACACAACACTGACATACTGCCTTATGAAGTTGCTGCACTGGACAGTTGCATATTTACATATCTAGCAGAAAAGGAGCAATATAAGCATTAATTTGAGTCTTCTTTCTGGCAACCTGGTGAATATAAGTCTAATATTCTCTCTCCTTATAGCTTAGGTCTACATCCTCTCTCAAGGGGCGCTTTAGCAGGCTTCTTTTTGATAAATTCAGTGTTTCCTTCATACTTATCTAATGCAGGATGAAGCTGTTGATCAGAGTGAAGCTGTGTGAATATAGCTTGTGTTTGGGTCTTCTTAAAAAAAAATCTAAACTTTTAAATGAACAATATCATTTAGTTTTCTTCACAGAAATGAATGACATGCTGAGATAAAGGCCTACTATGTATACTTTTTTTTTTTACAATACAAGTTTTCTTACAACCCTTAAAATCAAGAAGGCCCTGCAACCCCCCGTGAACCTTTAATGAAAGGATGTTAAAACTCCTCCCGCAGTTTTGGTTGCACATACACAAAAGGGCATCAAAACGTGCGGCTCAGCCGGGATATTAGTGCTATGACTTTTCTAAGCGTTTCGCCAAACAGTTTGCAGATAAATCGCCAGGCACACTCAAAATTTCTTTCTAGTTTGAACTATTGTTAACATAAAAATATTAATTAGTGCAGCTTTCAGAAATGTGTATTTTTTTTATGAGACCAAACCTCGAGACAGGGGCAGAGGTTCTATTTCATACAGCAATGGTTCTTTATTTGAAATAAGACTATACCATAACCTATTTAAATTGGCACATATAATAAGATGCGGTCAAAATTGTTGCTGTGAAGCAGACATCAGCGAGTGACTTGTCAGGGCTATGTATCATGGATTCAATTTTCATGAATCAATTAAAGTAGGATGTGGCAATGTCAGGGAACAATCAGATTTGCACGTTTTTTCTCTTTCTCAGAAAGGCTCAGTTAATCTCTGTCATCTTGGGATGTATTTAAGGAATAAGCAGTAAGACACAAGCAGCTGGTTCATCACAGTGAGGTAAAGTTTTATATTACATTAATTCAGCAGCTGAACATGTATTTTAATCAACTCCCCATTGATATCAACAATTTCACTTGCATAATAGCAGACAGGACCCCAGTCGTTACTGTCCCTCTGAACACTGCGTCTGTGGCTGAAATCCCAAATGGAGTCACAATGTACCTAGCAATTTATTATTTAAAAAATTGGACACGTTGAGGTGAAAACATTCACTTTCTTTTCAGCAAATACACACTCATGGCGATTCATGAACTTTAATCAGGAAACTGCAATAAATAAAGAGATTATGTGTTATGCTTTTGTATTACTTTTGGCTGTGAATGTAGTTTATATAATCTAAACACTCATTTTAAAACTCACAGAAGGAAGCCTGCCAGGTAATTAAAAAAAAAGGAGCAGTATAGGAAACAGAACAGCAGAAAATGCTTTGTTGCTCTTGTCTGGCTTCCTGGATATTTTCATTAAGATAGGGACGTTCATTATTCCTACACTGCACGTACGCATAAAATAGCTGCTCTGTAAGATAATAAACAATTCCTGCCTATGACAGAATCTAATTCAGAAGTACTTTGTGTTCATCCTTGCAAGTTTATTTCTTTGTTTTGTGATGCAGATGTGTTACTGTTTTTTTTTTTTTTAGCAAGGGCTGGTCTGCAGATAAGTGGACATTGAGGGTTGAATGAGGACAGCCTAAAACAAATGTAACGTAACTCAGGGTTCTCACTCAGACAGAAATCCTTTTCTGTAACCACTCTTTCCATGACTAACACAAGAGGATTTCCATGATCATTAAAACCAGTCTGACACATTGCTTGTGCCAATTTTAAAGTCAGAAAAGCAATGTACAGACAGAAGTAAAACATAAAAAAAGGCTAGGTTAGAAAAACAGGCTTTAGGTCAGCAGCCCCAACCATAATATAACCGTTCAGTGTTAAAGACTACAGGCTTGAAAGGTAGTCATTTTGTTTCTGTGGCTTATTTCAGTTGCAATCTACTAGCAAAATGTATGAAAACCTGCGTACAAACTTCCCCATTCAGTCCTGAAGCATAAACCAATTCTCTGTTATCCAGCCAAATCCTCTGTATTTACTAAGCAGTTAAACACTCACAAAAAAATGAATACACAGTTTTATTTGCTCACGGGCCTGTGGTAAGTCATCCAGTGTGGTTATTGAACTTTGATTTGATAACCGGCAATAACCATTCAGATGGACCACAACTGTGGTTTAATCTGTATCTAATTTGGTCTGAAAAGAACATGATATCAAGCACCGAACTGAATAGCTCGATACACAGGGCACACAGAGAGCTCAGACCTCTGCTATGGTCAAAAGTCCACTCTTATGCAAATCTGCACACCATTCACTTTAATTATGATGGGTTCACGCAGGTTGGACAATGTGGAATTCTAGATTAATCCAGAAAAAAAATCTTATCCTTGATCAGAGATACCTGCTCCATCTGTTTCTACAGTGATGTTTGAGGTGGCTGTTTTGTTGTGTTGTAGGCCTATCTTTAGTCACAGCACAAATTCAGTTCATTTTGCCATTGACACCAAAATATAATTTGTGTATCCGCTCTGTGATTCAGATCCGCTCCAATATTTAATGGGTTCTTCCGTGGCCCATGCTACACCCTTCCACCAAGTTTCATGAAAATCAGGCCAGTAGTTTTTCCTTAATCCTGCAGACAGGCATACAAACCCACAAACCCACAAGTAGCACTGAAAACATAACCTCCTTGGTGGAGGTTGTTTTCAGTGAAAGTCAAGAAATGGAAAAATTGTTATCCAACACGTATCACCTAGCATTCAAAATAAATGCACAAACTGTACAAACACCACAAGTTCCTTTTGGATTGAAAACACTTAATTACACGTCAGCGTGGTCTGCTGGCACACTGATGACCTATAATGTCCGATCTTTCTTCAATACAGCAGGGACGGACATTCTGTGCTGTTGAACAGTTGCAACATCAGTACTGTAACAATTTTAACAGTTTGGCAAACATGACTAAGGTCTTCACAAATTCATCAACATTTCCCAGGCTACTACCTACGACAACTTCCTCTATGTAAATATACATAACAGTAACAGACACACACAAAAAAAGAACCCAGGGTAAGTCTAAGTAGGAAGTTTGCATTCTTGTTTCGTTGTGATTGTGTGTACCACTGACATATTGAGTTCATTAAATCATGTAATATTTTCTTGATTCTTATAATGGTAAGCCAGTTTTGCTTATGTAGGAAGACCAGAGCCCTGGATCATCTGGAAAGAAACACTTCTGGGGTTTGTTAGGAT